AAATGCACTAAACAATTACAGGACCGTTAACCATTCGTCCAGGGTGTGAAGGGTCTGCAGTGGTGTTACCTGCCTGCTTCCTGGCTCTGGAGGTGGCAGGTTGGCACCGATGACTTTTTTTTGCAGTTTTCTCTTGTCCTAGTTGGTGGCTGTTCCAAACCACACAGATGCACTGAACCACTGGAATAAAGAAAACAAATGTCAAAAACTGCCTACAATACATGCAGACAAGCCAAATGTTTATCTGTGCACATATTGCCTGAGGTTGCAATAATCTCTTTAGTTCCCACAATGCTCAGTCGCATCCCCCTGCCTCCCTGTGTGTGTGTGTGTGTGTGTGTGTTTACCTCTCTTTTTTTCAGATGCTGACATTTCCCACCTGTCCACCAGCCTCCCTCACTGTTTTTCCCCTTGAGCCTGACTTCCTGCACAGCTGGTACTCCTCTCCTCTGCTGTGTCTCAATCATATATTATACACTAATTCTGAGTATGTCGCGGTTCTCACTAGATAAATAAGAAAAAGTTTATTTAACAAGTGTTTTTTGTCACCATGCTTTCTGTATTTAACCGGAGGTAGAGCAGAGGAAGGGTTGTGCAACCATGTTTTGGATGGCGTGGGTCATTATGTCATTTATTCTGGTTTCATAACATAAAACTGTGGTTTGCTCATGTTTTCCAATCCTGAATTTGAACTTTGATTCAGAGAAGGTGTACGTTGTTTTCATGAAGAGGGGGAGAAATAATGCAAAACTATAATAGTGTAAAGTGACCACAGGGACAAACCTTGTTTGGCCAGATGAAACAATAATCTACAGATAAATGTTGAGTGATGATGGTAAATGTTTTGTTTCCGGCGTTGCATGTCCTGAATACAACAGCAGGAATGTTGTATTCTTGCCAACCTGGAGCCTCCCCTCGTGGACGCAGTTTACCCTTTTCCAAATGAATACTTCTGTGAAGAAAATGCAGCATGACAGTGACTTACGTGTACTCCGATGGCCTCCACATTTGCTGGATTTCAACCCGACAGAAAACCTTAGGAGCCTTAGAGTTACAACCGATTGAAGAAACTGCAGGGAACATGTGATGCTTTAATGGCAGGATGGAGCAAGAGTTTCGTGCGATATCCACAGCTCTTTGTGGAATTTCTTTCTTGAAGTATCGGCCATAAATCAAGGCGTGAGGAGTAATAATGTTTCACGCGATGATGGACCATTTGCTGACCACAGCAGTGGAAAATATTCAATATTTGTGTCAATTCATTCATCCTGACCTGGTGTTTATGTTAGCCTCATACACTGTATATAAGAAGTGGTCGTAGTCACCGGGATGTCACCCATTGGTTTGTAAACTCCTGTTTTGAAACCTTGATTTCAGCATTTTTGGCATTGCCATCTTGTTTTTTGTAACCAGAAGTGACATAAGGAGGAGGAGCTAAGGTCAACTCAACGTTGAGTGAGACGTTTAAGGCGACCAAGGTATTACAATTAACTTTCATGAAGTGAAAACACATAGTGAAAGGGTTAAATTTGTAAGACGAAAACACGGATAACTCTCAGACCGGACAACGCTGGGGTAGTGACCTGTCAATCACTAGGTAGCCCCCCCCCCAACACCCCCGAGTCTAATTTACTCTAAATGGACCATAATTTACTAAATAAACATCATGCTGTATTGAAGAACACTTGAGACTAGCGATTTGTTTACTGAGGTAATAAATCAAGTGAGAAGTAAGGTCATTTTCCCATCGACTTCTATGCAATCTGACTTTTTGCAACCAGAGGAGTCGCCCCCTGATGGCCATTAGAAAGAATGCAAGTGTAAGGCACTTCAGCATTGGCTTCACTTTTCAAAACCGGAGGTTACTGACTGGCTAGCCCATTTATTGTTGGAAGGGAGGTGAGTTTACCCCTATCCAATCTAAGTAAAATGTAGCTGTTCCATCAAAAAATGACAAAGTTATGGTAGCAATTGCTAGAGGAAGATAGTGAAAATTGTCAAATTTAAGAGATTCATTTTTTTGTAGGTCGACTTCCAACAACCTCTCCTGCTGTTTTACACGACACATTTTCCTCTGGCCATTTTTCTGTTGCTCATTTTCGTGAATGTGGCTACCTAGCTAGCTTGGCATGAAGAAAGATGATGTTCCTATTCTCACCATGCACAAAGCTCTGATTGGTCAATTGTTTTTCCAACCTGTGGGGGCATCCATCAATGGCCACAACACCAGACCTACTGTACATCTGCTGGACAAATCAGAGATGTGGGTGGTCATTCAGTGGTTTGGAAACTCTTTAGTCATATGACTGCAACATAACACAAAAGGGAAAAAGGGATGCTTTTCCAGCCAAAGCAAGACAAGTTATGTAGCAAGAGTGTTTTCAAATAGGAGTCGATGACATCTGACTCTTTGCTTTGCAGTCTACTGTGTGTTTTAGCCTCGAGTATCGGCACGTAGAATGAGGGTCACACAGGATACACCAATTGTATCCTTCAAATTCAAGCAAAAGCGGGACCCATTTCTCAGGCTGTATCCAGAGGAGCTTTTGGACGGGGACAGCCTTGTCATATTCGGTCTAGAAACGGAGACTTCAAAGGAAGCAGTTCCTTGAATTGGGCCACAGTCAACTCAGCGATGCACAGGCAGGAGACTCTTCATCATTATTAATTGGGTTATGCCACAAAATACAAAACCCTCACCCATCTTCACGCGTTATATGCCGTGGCTTGATTGGCCACGTGTTCACATGAACAGGCTAGTCACCGATAATGTGTTTGTACGGCCATCGAGGGAAAGCTCTCCGTCCCTGTATGTGTTTGTATTACTCATAAACAAGGAGGACAATACAGTCTGAGATCCCATGACTAATTTCTACTGACTGCCCTGAACGTTTGGACAGAGCTTGTTTGGAAAGGCTGTCTGTGCTACCCTACAGAAACATTTATACCTTATGTAGCTGCCTATGAGTTCAAAGCATTTATGACAAGGACACTGTTTAGGATGCTATCTGTGTAACGTCTCTCCTTCTCACTGCTCTTTCTGTTTTTTTTCTCTCTGGCTTTTCATTTTCTTTTATTTGAGATCTTCAATTAATTACTATGGGATGTTATTGTTTGTTTCCCCTTGCTAACAAGTTGCTGCTGTGCCAGCTGGGGCTTGGAAACATAATCTCTCAAAGCTGGGGTGGTTGATGTGTTCAAGGGACCTTTTGTTACATTTGTTGAAATTCTCAGATCATATTCTCTGACAAAAATAATAAGAAAAAAACCATCTGTAGCGGTGGCTGTCGCAGGACTGTTGAACTTACCATTACATCTGGTAATAGCTTTTTTGATTATTCAATTAATCATTTGGGCTATGACATGTCAGAAAATGGCCATCCATCACAATTTCATAGAACTTCTGTTGACATAACATCGCTGTCCACAAAAAAACAGAAAGTTGAGGATTTTGAATTTTTCACATTTAATTATTCTCATACTTCTTAAACTAAAGAAACTTTAAGCTGTAAAATGTATTGTCACAAAACTGAAAACAATTTCTTCGACAATGAAATGTTGGTATTCTGGAGATTATCAATTACCAAGCCGCTTGCTTATTAAATATTGAATTATATTAGATATTTTATTTCCTTCACACAATCAGATAAAGATGTGACCTTCAAGATAACTGCCCTTTCTGTATTAAAAACAGAAACTCAAATGTGGTGGGTGATACCTAACAGTAAGAACCAGTAAGAGTTGTGTTTAATGTCAACCTGGCAACAGATCCTGTCATCACATGGATGCTACTCGACTCCTATTAAAACCTGCTGCGGCAAAGCTGTTTCCTCCTCCTTGGACGAGCATGTTCAAGGTCACTGCAAAAAACAAAAAACAAACCAGAGTAACCTTGTCAAACTAAGCTGCATGTGTCCCCAGAGTTCCCTTGATTACACCAACACCAGGGTTGACGAAGTTACTCTCAAACTGTAATAAATCACACATACTGTATGTCTGGAAAGAGGCATGCTTTTCAAGCAGTAACATGTTGTGTATTACTCCAGATCAGGTATGTAATAATGGTAATAGTATCTATATATCTATTATTTATGTGAATGTGTTTCTTTTTCTACTTTTTTTTGAACAGCTCACTGAAGGAAAGTAAGCGAAAGGAAACGTTTTTACGTAAAAAAAGAAAAACTGTATGGAAAGTTAAAACCTATAAGCACACAATTGAGAACTGCTCCATCACCAAGTTGCTTCATCTTCGAATATTTACGATCTCAGCGGGTACACAATTGAGTACTGTTGGTGACAAGCAGTGGCGGACACAGACTGTCTGAGGTCCAGGGCAGTACCCAAATGTACCCGACCCAATGCAAGACTCTGCCCTAGAGGGCACTGCATCACATTTTCTCTACTGGAAGGGCATCCTTGAGGGCAATTCCTCACGTTTTCTCCACTGGAAGAGCCCCCAAGAAGGCAATTTATTACAAGTCTACCAGTGGTAACAAATATGTAGAGGAGAACTTGTTATATAGCTTCCAAACTTGCAGAGACTCTCTCACAATGAGTGTCACTTTCAACTTACTTCCAACTGACAGTTTAATGATGAAAAACAACTCAGTCTGTATGTCATCTCAAACAGTGGGAGGCCGTTATATAGGCTACACTTCTGCACAAACTAACTCCAATTAACACTTTTTCTTTAGAGATTCATCTTAATGATGAATAAATTCAAACAGGTTTGAAAAAATATTAAATTATTAAATAAGTGTTTGCATTTTGTGTGAAAAGTAATTATCGAGAGGAATGACAGTTCAATGGTGTGGTGTATATTTCGGATCTGAGGATGGAGTTCATCAGCTGCAGATTGCTTTTGAGCAGTTTTTCAAAAACAATAAAACTTCTGAACAGCTGGTGACTCATGGCGCACCGCCTGGCGCCCACAGCTCCCCAGGCTGATAAGTGCTCTGAAAGAGGTAGGGGATATTCATTCAGGGCTGAGACTCGTCATAACCTCAACAACCAAGAGAGCTGTTAAGTTAAATCAAAGAAACACCGTCCTGGTGATCTAGAGCATTAATAACGCCGTTTATCTCACATCTTTATGCGCCCTGGGGAGATCAGGCGCACAGCAGAAGGTAAGCGCACATGGGCGAACATTTGTGCGTTTGAGTCAGTGACCGATGAAAATAACTGTTAAAAAAAGTTAACCCAGCGTCCAGAAGAATAACGGGAAGCTACAATGTCTAACTCACGGAGGTCTTCTGTTGTGGCACGAGGGAAGAGACCACCGGATTTGGAACTGTCGCAAACCACGTTTCGCGCGCCTGAACCAGGAACCCCCGTGGACAACGACACGTTTTCTGAGAGAGACAAAATGCCAGAGGACGGTAACACTCCCGCAGAAGTACCAACTGTTCACCTCCACCCGTACTTATCTCATCCCCGGATGTCTGTGCGGATGTCGGTGTACAGCACCGGGGTCCGTCCGGTCATCACCCGCGCCTACATCCAAGGACGTGTGTATAACTTTCTGGAAAGGCCGTCTGGTTGGAAATGCTTCGTGTATCACTTCACAGTGTGAGTGTTTTTTTATTTTTTTTATTTCCATAATCATCGATTTCCGTAGGGTATTCAAGGGTGTAATTGCAACTCTAAGATCCTAATTAGACAGTTAATTGCGCATGTACTCTTGGAAGCCCTTGATACAATGAAGTGTTAATCCTGTGAATTTGAGAAAGATGCTGCAAGGATATGACAGAAGGACTGGAATCCCTCTAGGAATATTATACGAATATATAAGTCTAGCACATTAAAAAAAAGACCACATAATTCATCACAGACGACAGAAAATACGTCCTTATAGGAGTACTAAAGGATTATTATGAAGGTCTTTCATTTGGGAGACTATTTTTCCTCAGCACCACTGAACACTTTGAGTGCAACAACACTGAGGGGGGTTTGCTTTCAGTGAGGCTTTTCAACCTGACAGGGGACGTTTTAGTGTTTGTTTCCCTTCCTGACAGCATGACAGGTATATGTGAGCCTACCTGGTTTAATGAAAAATGAAATATAAATATTACAGCTGAACATAGATCCTGGTGTAATCCAGAGCGGGATGGATTGTATCCGCTAAAGCTGCAATATCATGAAGATGTCACATTATGGTTCATCGCCCAAAAAACTGATGTGACAACTTTTGTCAGGTAGCTTGAAAAATGAAGTGTTACTCATGATAAACGACTGTTTATACACCAGTGATGTAATGCCAAAGGAAACATTTCACTGTCTTTTTCTTTCTTGGTATCGCCCCACATCCGGGAAACTGACCAGTCCAGTAGATCCAGACCGGAGCGTTACGGCAGAGGTTTAGGAATGTGGGACATTATCCTCCGGCTCACTCCCATGTGTGCTGTCTGTCCCCACTTGCTTGCACTGATAGCAGGCAGCTAAACTTGGCAGCGTGTGTGTGTTCTGTGGAGGAGGTAGCGGTCCCTGCCCCGGCGCTGCCACCCTGTGACCCTGCTGTGTCGGAGGGGACGCTTGCATGAGAACGCGGCCTGTCGGAGCAGGTTAGAGTCTCGGTGACTCAGAGGGAGCATAAGCCAACACAGTGCAACTCAAACACATTCGGGGCTTTACCAGGAATAACAGCACAATGCAAAATAGAAGGGAAGCTAGTGGCTGCTATGAGCACAGGGAAATTGTTTGTTCGTGCATCGACATTTCAAATATTGTACTATTAGACTAAGGTGCAAACCAGCAGGATGAGGTGCCTTGACCTTGACCTTGACCTTCCTGTAACGGCTCAAACTGCACAAAATAACAGGAAACGCCACAAAGTGCTACTTGAAATACAAAATCAAAATGTTTTTCATAAGCCACAGTGTCAGTGGCAAATTTCTCTTCATTTGCTGCTAATAATTTGCACAACGGCTGTAACATTAAGACACCATGTGTGCAGACTGTCACTCTCAGCCCTGATAGCTGTTTGTACTCTCAGCCCTGATAGCTGTTTGTTTGCTGCAGCTCAACCAGACCTGTTTGCCCGGATTTGAAACTTCTGGTTTCGCATTTGGGCACCGTTGAACAAAACTGCCCCGCGCTCGGCCCCTGAAGAGGATATGATGGGACGCTTCCTCCATTTTTAATAACTATTGATCCGTTTGATCAAATCCAGGCTGCGAAACACATAACTCTCGAAATCTGCACTATATTTAATGTTACTATGAGGAACTTTTAACTGGATATGAAATTCAATACTGACGCCTCTCATAGTACCTACATGAGTAAACAAGACCATCCGCGAGGATCGCGAGTGCACATACAACATGTTCTTACTACTCAGGTGCAGATGGCAGAGACAATTGAAAACTTTGTGGAGCTTTGAGAATGTCGGTTGTTATACCCGCATGGAGTATAAAAGATCCACGTCATGATTTCACGTCAGCTCATGTTTGTGCGAACGTCCTTGTTGGAAGGTATAATCAAGGCTCCACTGCTTGTTATCGGATTCCTCATGAAATCTGACAAAATCATGCAGGTTCACCAGAAACTTCTTCAGCTCCCACTCAGATCGTAGAGTAGTTTAGACAACTCTCCTAGTTCTATAATACCAGCAGGGGTCTGTTGTTGGGATGTCAAACCATCCAGCTGGTTTTTGGGGTCAGTTCGTTGCCTTGTTCTGCAAGTGTTTTAGTGGGAGAAAAGCAGTTAAGAATAAGCATGTCTATATCACTGACCCACATCTCCAACGTCAGAGTGACCTGAATCCTTATCAGAGTGTGTGTGCGCGTGTTTGCATATATCAGTTTATGTGTGTGTAGTGATACAGTATGCTGGCAGGGACTCAGGTCTGTTTCATTATGGTAAAAGGAAAGCAACAGTTCATATCACTGGAAGTGAACATGGTATACATGTAGCTTTAAGCAATTAATAAAGTATATCCCCATGCTCCCGCTGGGTGTCTCTCTGCAGTGTGCTACAGTCTAGCTGTAAATGCCGCATTTTAGTTTGGAGCAGCATGGATCATCCCACATGCTGGTTACAGATGAGTCAATCAGGAGAGTTTAGAGAAAACAAAAATCGGAGTGTTTTTCAGATTCAGCTCCATTAAACCGAACCAGATATCTGTCAAACAGCATCAGGTTGAAGGAAGACAACTCTGACACTATTTTTTTTATGGTTTAACAAACCGGCTAATAGTTCATGTGTTGTTGTTCCTTTCAATTTGAGGATTGTGGTTTTTTTTACTTGAGCTGTTTGTATTCCATCCTATAATTTAGGAACTGGGGGAAAAAGCATCTATGATGTTTTTCTTCTCTTTTAAAAAACAAAGGAGCTTGGATTCCTATTGGAGCACATCGGCAAGGTCACTTTTATCGCTCAGCTATGAAACTCATAAAGTCGTCTGCCCAAATTACAAACAAGGCCTTAAATGTTCATCTTTAATCACTGTGCATTCATCTAAACCCCTGTTTTGTGTTGCATTGCTTTTGGTTGGTTTGTGTTTTGTCGTCTCTAAAAAGCAACAGTGACGCAAACAAATTGTGATTGATGGTCGGAATAGGATATTTGATGGTAACAGCCAGTGACACGGTCAGCAGCGGCGCTATGAGCCCTCATAGCTCTGTCCCCTGCTTTGTCTCTACTCTCGCTGCACAACAGACCGCGAGTGAGTCTGCCCATCAATAATGGATGGGAGCAGTGCTTTGAGATTTCTGTTTAGAGTTCAGTGGTGCCTATGTAGCTGAGCCAGTGTATTGTTTTCTTTGTTGCTCCATCAAGCCCACTGGAGGAAAAGGAAGTGAAATATGATGGTGCAGTTAGTATAGAGAAGGACTGACGAGTCCGATCGTCTCAGACGGATCCAAAGCGAGGCAGAAGTGTGTGCCCAGCATACTGAGCGTGTATGTTTGCTGGCATTTCAAACGCTCTGAAAATAATTTAAGCAGAGCTACGCCGACAAATTACAGCCATTAGCATATCAGAGTGTTTGGCTCGGAAAGTTTGATGTTCATTTGTGTTTCTTTTGATCCTCTTTTCAGCTGCCTCTGTCACGTATTGAACATAAGATCGTGTAGATTGCCCCGCGTCCTAACGATGTGAGCAATTTTGTTTATGCCCAATGTTCCCTGCTCTCCTTAATGGACACATTTGCTCCCATTTAGTTGTTGTTGCATCGTGTACTTCTTCTGTGTCTCACATACAGAACCAGCTGCTTTGTTAGCTGTGTTACACACCAGTTCATCTTCCCTAAGCAGGTCTCTCTGCTGTCTTTTATCTGTGTTGACGTGTGGCGTGCACAGTCAAGCCTGTGTGTGTGTGTGTGTTACTTTAAAGTGGGGTATTTGGATTCCTGGCCAGTCTTCAATAAACTCAGGCTGTAGCATGGGGTGATAAGAGCCTCCATGGTGCAAACATTGACTGGAAACTCCCTCTACACATAGTTTCCATCAAGTGTGCTCATATAGGAACAAAACTGTGGTTCTTCAGGGCTGTTTTTTGCTGTACAATAGTTTGAAACATTATCGAGATGACAGTAGAGCAAATACTTCCAACAACACTGCGCGTATTCTCAAGATATGCCAGTTCTATATTGGGCCCCAGTACAGGCTGTTCTCTCACACTGTTTGTAAAGTAATGATATTGTTATATCCCACAATATCAATTCATGTGTAATCCATGTAATCATGAACAAGGAAGTATAAAGAGTGACAAACTCCACAGAGAAAAACACCAGCCTTTCACCCAGGGGACCGTTGTCCGTGTCACGTGTGAAACCAGAAGTCAGCTTGATTTATTTGTCACGTAACGTGCGTACTTAAGTACCCAAACTTTTACAAAACCTAACTAAGTAGTTTTGTTGCCTAAACCTAACTAAGTTGTTTCCGGTTAAGACGGAAATTTATTTTGCAAAGACCGTTTGTAAGCAGAAATTGTGTTGCTGGACTTTCGTAGGAAAACGCACTAAAAATTAGGAATAACTTTTCGTAAGATATATTGATATCCATTGCATGAGGATACGTTGTGCAGTTACACTTGCACAGTAACACTTGCCATTGTAACTGCATTGTCCTTGGTCTTTTTCGTCAGAAATAAACCAAAAACGTTTTGTGGATATATTGCGGATTTCAAGCATTCCAGCCAGTTTGCAAGCCAAGACATTTCTTATTGATCTTTAGCGTATATGAAAAACAAATAATGTCTGTCAATTCATGTTTATATATGTATACAAGGCAGATGCGTGGAACACATTATAGTAATAAAATCAATGAACACTGGCAGCACAGTTACATCCAAACAGAAAGCCAACGTTCCAGTGCCACCATGTTTTTTTCTCCGATTGGTCCAATCATGGACGTTCGTTCTGTCAGCTGACTGGCAAATGAATTCAGATGATGTCATGTGAATGCATTCAGAAGTTTCTCCGCCACATCTCCTGCCAATGGAAATGGAAAGTTAATCAGTTTGACCTTGCCACAATGCCAACCGCCTCACAAAGTCTAATGCACATTCATGATTCATTTTCTAAGATATCGTGCTAACAGACACACATAATGACATGGGGTGAAACACAACCCCAACTTCGACTCGGATAGCAAAGATGATATGCAGTAACTAAAGAATAAACAGGAACGGAGGCCGTTCGTGGCTCTGCCGGCGAAATCAAGTTTGAACAAGGTTATGAGTTTGAGAAGCGCTCATCGCCTATATTGCAGTCAGCCCTGATTTCCCATCATCCTCCACTAACGTCAAATTAAACAGGATCCCTGTCTCTGACTTTTATGAACAGCAGTGAAGAATAGCCACGAGAGTTTATTTGGTGTTACAAAGGCACTATACGTAGCTCTTTGTTATATGAGCTGCTTTAAAGAAACCGATTCCTGAAAGGTTTCTGGCGAAGAATTCAAGAGTCAATAAATAACTCAAGGCCATGTAACTAAGTGTTAGTTATGTTTTTGGGCAAAGTGTCACAGCTCGAAGCCTGATCTCCAAAGAAATGAAATAACTTTCTCTGAAGTCGGTTGAGGAGTTACAGACGTCTCATTGTTGCTGCAGTAGAAACACATGTGACCTTGAGGGGAATAAGGAGAATGGTAAGGAGCAATTCAGTGTTTGTTGACTGCATATGTGTGTGTGTGTGTGTGTGTGTGTGTGTGTGTGCGTGTGTGCGTGCATACGTGCGAACTAGGGTGCTCATTATTTGACAAGTTTATCATGTGCTTTGCATTCATATGGTGGAGGTTCAAAAGGTTCACAGTATTTCCTCCAGAGAGCTGTCCTTGAATGTTTGCTCAAATTCAGTCAGATACTTTTCATGACAAAAATATAAAGTAATGTTTTGCTGTCTTGAAATTATATATTTTTTTCTTCAAGTTGTTTAGAAGTTCAGACTCGAGTCAGACACCAACGTTGACTGAAGTTTTGCTGTTTAAATCAAAGGGTGAAATGTTGACATGAATATTAGGTTGAAAGTGTATCGAGGAAATTTGTGTTCGCTTGGCTCGACTGATGGCACGTTATGTAAAGCTTTGGTTTGAGGAAAATGGAGTTAAACAAGAGCTGGTTGGATATTATCCAATTGGATTGTATAAGATTATAAACAAAGGAAATAAGAGCTATGAACAACATAAAACTTACAATTATGACACTTTATGACAGTTAAAGTTACTACAAGGAACGAAATCATGCAGGTTCACCAGTAACTCCTCCAGTTCAGACTCCAGCGGGGCCTCCGGGGGAGAGGGGGAGAAGCGTCCTTCGGCCAGGAGCAAAGCTTCTCCTCACTGCTCTGCCGGTGCCCGCTGGAAGCCGACACCACACTGATGGAGGCCGTATTATTGGGCCCACTGGAGGGAAGAGAGGACCAGAACCGGGTCTGCGTGGGGCAGACTGTCAGACACTGCTGCCATAAAATACAAGGTTTTCTCAAGGGACTATGGCGCTCAGAAACATTACCGCTTTTGTCCACAGGGAACACCTAAATCGACACAAAATGAAAGTTACTCGTGGTAACTTCAATTAAGACTAATTTACTTTGTTTCCTACAGGTTTCTCATAGTTCTGGCCTGCCTCATGCTCAGCGTTCTGTCTACCATCGAGCAGTACCAGGCCCTGGCTCACACGACACTCTTCTGGGTGGTGAGTGTTGAATTTGATTAAATTGAAAAGTAACTCCTGGGATTGACCATTAAAACATTGTTTTGTCTCTCGTTTGTCTCATTGTAAGATTGGATCTACCTCTAGCAGAGGTTTTAATTAAAAGCTAATGATTAATTAAATCCCAACTAGAACGTCCTAACCCTCTGTGGAGAGCAGTGTTTGGGGTCAAATGGGTCCAGCTTTTGCTGTCGGTAATGTGGCCTCGAAACCATCCGAGTCTGAAAAGTGGTGTCAATTCAGAAGAGCCGTAAACCTGCATTCTTTCTAATGTCCATCAGGGGGCGACTCCTCTGGTTGCAAAAATAAGTCTGATTGTATAGAAGTCAATGGCGAAATGACCCTACTTCTCACTTGATTTATGTTCTCAATCGCTAGTTTCAAGTCTTCTTCAATACAGCATGATGATAGTAAATTAGGGTCCCATTTTAGAGTAAAATAGATCATAAAGCAGGGAATACTTTAGGGCGGGGCTACCTTGTGATTGACAGGTTGCCACCAAGGTGTTTTACGTGTTTTAGTCTTAGAACTTTAACAGTTTTACATTGTGTTTTCAGTTCATGAAAGTTAATTGTGACAGTTTTGGTCGACTAACAATGTCTTTTTCAGCATTCGGTCGTACTACCCTCTCGTGTCACATCTGGTTGCAAAAAACCAAGATGGCGACAGCTAAAATGCTGAATGTGAGGCTTCAGAACCTTCATCCACAAACCAACGGGTGACCTCACAGTGATTATGTCCACTTCTTATACACAGTTTGTGCTCAAAACGAGAGACTTTAAAGCCCCGATCAGACCAGAAAGTGTCTTTGTGAAATGAATTAGGTGGTGCTGACACGCTTGGTGATGCAGTGATTATTGATGAGTCGATAGCTCGCCTGGTCCCAAACAAACAGGACAATTAGTGTACTTCATTCAAGAGACGTATTTGTATGCTGCTCTCTCACAACTGCAGTCTACAAATCCATGCTGCATCTCTGTTGTGGGGCAGTTTCTACTCCAGCAGAACAGGGTTATATAAAGTTAGACGGAGTGACTATGATAGCTTTCTCCCTTTTTTGGACTCTCCAGGTGTCTTTTCCCTAAAAGATCAGCAAGATATATTCCAATAAGTCGGTTTGAAGTCATGTAGTGTGAAGCAATCAAAGACTCAAATCTGTATGTAATCCTTGCAACAACTAAAATCCTTACAAAAAACTTGCTTTAACACCAGCTCTGAGACTTGTGGTATACTCCCATGAAGATTAAATGGATTAGTGTAGCACGTAGATGGACACAACAACTTGTGTTCCTGCATGTTAAACTACCTCACTTTGTGGCGCATACCATGAATCTGCTCATATCTAACAAATGAAATGTTTTTACTGTCGATGGTAGCGATGCTCCGTAGAAGGTAGCGCTGCGACCAGTAAAAGAGGAGAAAAAGAAGAGAGCCAGCCCTGTTAATAATGCAGCTTTCAGAAGATTAAAAGAAATGAACCAATCAGCTTTATAGATATTTTATGAGGTTGCATGCATCCCACGTTTCTTTGTTAGATCTTTAGGATGTGCAGGAGGTGTTTGGGCAAGAAACACTGAGTGTAAACAAACAGTTCGTGTTCGTTTGCAGGAAAACTCCTGTGTGTGTGTGTGTTTAATGATCCAGTTCAGTGGTCCATGAACCACATGTGTCTGACAGATGCTGTACTAGGAGAGTGATTGCGACTTGAAATAATCTAAATCTCTATCTAATCTAAATGTTTTCTTGTAAAAGCACTGTTTCCGTTAGATACAGCCTGTAGTCTTTTGTCCCCCTGCGGCATCCTGATCTGATCTATGCTTTGACTTTCACCATCTGCTCAGCACTTCTGTTTTTTTTCTTCTGTTTTTGTTGGCTGGCATCTGCCAACAGGCCTGATTCTGATCTTCTGATTGTTTTGTTCCCATTGCCATGTTGCATCTCATTGATGAATCACAAATGATAACAATGCTCATGAAGCAATGCAGTCGATAGGCGTTGAGTCATTATAAAGTTCTTTGAAAGGACATATATGTTGGTCAGAGAGTAAACTGGGGTGTTAAATGAATCACAATTTCTGTCAAAAGCTGCAACAATCAACACCAGGATTATGAGGATGTTGCTAAAACAATAAATATCACACTTCACTTTTTGTTGTTTGAAAAGCAATTTCATGTGTTGATTGTTCTAATCACTGCCTGACAGACTAAACAATTTAAGCACACACAGGACTACATCGACTTTTTTTTACCCTGCAAACAATTTCAGGGCGTCCCGCTGGCCTGAGGGGGTAACAGCTCCTCCTCTAAAGTCAATAGTAAACAGGGAAAACTTAACCCTGAGACACCAGATGCTGAGCGCAGGAACTGTTTGGGTGATGGGTGAGTCATTCGAGCTCCGACAAAAGAAAACCTCAAGAAAAGGATGAAAAGGACTTGAGGATTTTCTTACAAGAGGCTCGGAGCGTGCCATATGTGACAAGTTCACCTTGGCCTGAGGATAATGGGATGAAATGGTCACGGTGTTTCATGAGCCGGCACATCACAGTCTCATATCCTACAACTCCATTGTTGGATTCAAAGAGGCTCCTGTGTATGAATCTGACCTGTAATTATAAGGAAAAGTGTGATATGTGTTGGTAAATGCCACTAAATCTTGAATTTTATGGCACAATGCTTTTCTGCCTTAAATTCACCCTGAACATATTTAATCTGCTCATTCTTCTCTTCAACACAGATAATGAATAATTAATATTTGCCATGCTCCTAAACCTACCAACATCTCAAACATTCATCTTTTCCATCCTCCGTCCCAAAGGGGCTGTTCTTGTACTTTGTGCCTTCTAGTTCAGAGATTTGCTGTGACCCTGCCACCCTTTCATTCTCTCCTCCCCCACCACAGAAGCATCTTCTTTGTCTTGCTGCTTTCTTCCTGCACACTCAAGGTTAACAGAGACCACGCTGTTCTTTACTTGGAGATGCAGCACCAGCTGACAGTGTTTGTAGCTGTGTGTTTGGCCAGATGCTTGGCGGTTTGCCCAAAAGATCTACATTCCCAAAAGGTCTCGTTTGTTTGTTTTTTTGGATCCAAAAAGTATTGCTACTTTTTTATTTTATTTCTGGAAACAAATCCTGGCAACACAGCCTGTTTTAGTTAAAAAGACCATCAAGTCATGCTTTGTTGGAAAGGGGGGATGAATGAAGGTTGTGGACTGAAGAATGACAAGGGTCGAGAATGAAGGGAGGGATGAAATGGGGATCGATGATGGGTTCGGGTCGAAAGTTGTTGTGGAGTGAGACTCAGTGTGGAGACAATGACTAGATGAGGTATCGTAGTTTGATTGTTCCCTTTGTGGGTTCTGTAATGAATGAGAAGGATGTGAGGAAGGACTTAAGGGCTGAGGGATTTGATAACCTAGAGACCCGCCTTGTGTTACTCGTTCCCTTTGTTGGTTGGGTTGGTTAGGTTTAGGCATGAGGAGTGAGATTAGTTAGGTACGGGTTAAGAATATCAGTGTTAGTCAGTCAGAGACAGAGTAGTCTGCGTCACGCCTTCCCCAAGGTACAGTAGATGACGTCATTTAGCACAATAATTAGCCATGGCCTTCTGTTTGTTGCACGGAGAGTGTGTATTTTGAGACAAATAGGCTTTCGTTCCAATGTGACATTTTTCTGATTATTGGGGTTTCGGAAAAATAATAGGCCGTTGGAACAATGGCATGGCACCATTAGCAGAGTATAGTTTGGACCAGGTCCCATTTTAAGCACACACAGACCCCGGTCGGGTCTCATCTTCTCAGAGCCGAGTGGATCCGTAAGGACGCTCTTCATCGGCGGACAGATGGTATTTCCTCACTCGTCGTGCTGTAGGTGTTTAAACTCTCCAATATTCTGAGACCTTTTAGGATTTCTCTTTCATGTTGGTTTAAACGTTGAGTTTGACAGATCCTTCTTGATTGAAGAAACAGCTGTTGACAACACAATCTCAACTGCAGGTTCACTTTCTTTTTTCCAGATTGTTCTGGAGTTTTTTGGACCAGACGGCCTTCTGTTTCTTTGGTGAAGAATTAATTATTTAAATTTTAAGCAAACACAAACAATTTGTGTTGAACAGTCAAGTCTCTGTAACAAGGCAGTAAGTGGACTCAAAAGTCAACTTCTGTTTCTAAGGTCAGAATGAAGTGTCCAGATATTATGAATGCATTTTTTGTTTTACCAGACTTCTATTTCATATTCACAGAAGTTTTGATCTTTGGCTCTGATGGAGAAAAACACCTCCGGTAATTCCAAGATGAAAATGTCACCTGCTGTGCAACATGAAAGACTTCCCCTGCATGAATCCCCGAGTTTGTTCATCCCGTCCTTCATTGCAAAGTGTTCATGTCACCATTAAAAATATATGAAAGGGCGTTGAGTCACTTTCAAACAGCTTCATTTCCAAATTCTTGTCAATGATTAAGAGACAGTGGAGGTAATTTCATTAGCATTCACACTGCAGTTCATTCATTTCCACGTGTTGGTGTAATTGTGTGCTGTAATTGATTTTCTTTTAATCCATTTGTCCTCGAGGGGCACTGGAGGAATTGAAATGGAGCGGCTTTAATTGAGAAGCCTTAATTGTACGAGTTTCGTGTTTAGCATTGGACGCATGCTGTTATGGCTTGTTTCAGTTTATTGTCATGCAAATTAAAAGTAATGAGAATAAGAAAGAGAAGAAAAGAAGGGAGTAATTCAGATGTAGTACGGTAAATGTGAATACTGCCATCAGCCCATTAGCTTAGCTTAGCACAAAGACCAGGAACAGGGGGAAATAGCTAATGGCTCTGTCTAAATGTGACAAAATCAGCCTCTGAAAGTCACTATTTACCAATCTGTGCAAAAACTGAAGTGTAAAAATGTTCTGGTTTTAGGAGGCTGTGGTTATTTCCTTGAAACTTGTCGTCACTGTGCACCCCGTTCTCACTCCCAACTCATGAAATACCGATGCTTGGTCAGTGCCTGATTCCGATGCACAACGCTTTTAACTAACTCCAATGTAAACCCAGCGGCGTCAGGGTAGTACGCTCAAACAAAGGACTTTCGTCTAGGAGAAGGCTGTTCGTGTCCCGTGCCAACTAAAAGTATATGTTGACATTTAGTCAGTCGTTAGTCATGTGAGTTGTTAGTGTTGTTTGTCATGTGACTCGCATAAATCGCTAGTCACTTGAAAGTGTTAATCAGTCATGTAGATGTCAATCCCGCTCTTTTCCTAAACCTAACTAAGTGGTTTTGTTGCCTAAACCTAACTTCCTTTGAAGACGGAAGTTTATTTTGAAAAGACATTATGCATGTAACGAATGGAAACTGACACGCTGTCCCTGACACGTCCAGAACTTTAAATCGATAAACAAATTAGATAAAGTGAAATTAGCTTTGGAGCTGCTGCCATGTGCCTTTGGACAGAGCCCCCTCGTTTCAAGTCTTTGTGTTAAGCTAAAATGACTAGCTGGTGGTGGTAGCTTACTATTTACTGTCAAGATATGAGAGAGGTATCTATTTTTTCCTTTAACTTTAAACGTGAAGCGGTTGCTCAGTGGGAACAGCGGGTTGTCTTTCAAACACAAGGTCGGCGGATCATCTCCGGCTCCGCATGTCGAAGAGTCCCTCGGTGAGACAAGTTGTTTCCCCGGGGGTTCACAGCATCCTAAAAAACTTAAGATGGGATAACTCTAGCATGAATGTGTATGTAAGGATGGGTTGTGGGGAAAATCAAATATCAAGAGATTTCTGATCAACTGCGATGATGTTGTAGGGTTGACTATTGGTGCTATCTCAAAATATTTACACAATGAGATCTTTGATAAATAATTATCAGTAATGTGGATATGATGACGAAGTGGGTAAAGGCAAATAACAGAACAGAAAAGGGACATCACTTTACTATAATGCAGCCTTTAAAACCAGGAAAAGACAACACTTATGCCATAATATCCAAAATCTAAAATAATATCTAGTCTCATAATATCTAGCCCTATATGGCTATTTAAATAAGGTTTAAAGTCTTTTGCCCAAAATATTGAACTACTCCTCGAAGTAAACACATTGGATTTAACAAATATAGATCAATATTATCAATCTATTTGTCAAGGTGACAAAATCACTTTTTTCTTTCAGGTCCGAGCACATGTAGCAGCGGAAATAGAGACTGAATCAATGGTGTGGTACAAATTACACAGTGACAAATGGTGCAGCGGCTGATTGAGAATCAATAATCCTTAATGAATTAGACGGAGAAGCTGCACTTAAAAAAAGAAAGAAGAAGTCAAGAGAATAGTTGTGCAAATCGCATCTTCAATATCAGATTTTAAAGTACACTTTTCCTGAAGTCTGAGCAGCTGTTCAGGTGTTTCATTGAATATCTTGCAACAACACCCGATGTCCTTCTAGCTCATTTGTCTCTCCCTCATTCCTCTGGCAGGAGATCGTCCTTGTGGTGTTCTTCGGTGTGGAATATTTTGTCCGCCTCTGGTCAGCCGGCTGCCGCAGTAAATACGTTGGCATCTGTGGCCGACTGCGCTTTGCCAGGAAGCCAATATCTATTATAGGTGGGAACACAACCCCCGTACACACACGTATCTACACACACACGCACACAAGCAAACGTTTCGCTCCTCACCCACACACGCTATTTAAACAATACCTGTAATATATCCTGAGCTGCATCCCAAAATGAGATACCTCAGACAAATTCGGCATGAAATTAAAACTGTCACTGCAATATTTTTTTCTACCTTCATCTTTTTATTCTTAAAATTGGAGCCTCCAGGTGTTTTTTTTTAAATATGCAGCAATGACTATTAGCATTACCATTATTTGTAACCCCTCTCACCTCAACTGAGAATCATCTTTTAATGAAAACCAATGATTATTTCCTAATGGAGGACTTTTTCATCCATGTATTTTTTTTACTTTTTCAAACCTCACATGGAGGACAACGGTGGCTCCTGCTGTGCTGAACCTCCGTATATTGAACATCTGCATGTTTATGTCATATTTATACTTATAGCCCCTCATTCTCTGTCAATACAGATCTGATTGTGGTCGTCGCCTCAATAATTGTGCTGTCAGTGGGCTCCAAAGGCCAGGTCTTCGCCACCTCTGCTGTAAGGTAAGAGACAGTGTATGCAGTCAAAAGTCTGTGGACACACTGGCTCGGTTGCATCAACAAGGATTAATATAATCTGAGATTGGTTTTAATCAAAGTTTCATAAAACTAGGTTTCAAATGAGTAAAATCCAGATTCAAAATCAAGCAGAACTCTGTTGCACGATTGAAACTTTTAATAAATCCAAGTTTAAAACCAAAAACCTAACTCAATATGGAGATGCTTGCTAACACAAACTGAAATAAATAGATAAATATATAGATTTGCATACTGTTAGTGACTGCTGCTCTGCATTCCAACAAAATGTTGTTTGCTAGCTAGCTCGCTAAAAAGTCTGGTAGTTACAGTAACGTCGGTCATGATGGCTCGACAGAGAAGCTCATTTCTCCTTGTTTGAGAACAACCTGGTGGCGAATTTAATGGAGCAATATTGCCAAAAAAAATAACAACAGCAATGTAAGGAAAATACTTTTTTCACAATAAGGAAAAAAAGAGTCAATCTTCCTGTTCAGATCCATAACTTGATGAACTTGCTAACTTTCTTTGAGGAACTTCATTATTTTTGCTCAATTCTTCTGAAAAAAGTCAGTTGAACCGCCTCCAGTGTAGGGTTAAAGTAAATACTGCATCCCATCTTAAATTGGAGTTTGGTGCAACATAATCTAATTTAATCTATGTTCATAATCTAGCAGTGAAAATGAAACTGATGTTTAAAGAGGTTTGAAATTGATGAGCGCATGTGGTGTTGTCTTTGTGGCAATAGTTTAACCTTTGGGACGACTTAGCCAGCTGTGACCTCACTCCACATACTTTTGGTCTCAAAATGTGTGTGTACATACATATTTTTGGTCTGAATGCAATGTCGGCATTTAAACACTTTTGTTATCTTCCAGAGGGATTCGTTTCCTGCAGATCCTGCGAATGCTCCACGTGGACCGGCAGGGAGGGACCTGGCGTCTCCTTGGCTCCGTCGTCTTCATCCATCGGCAGGTACTCAAGCTTTGATTGAGGATATAAGATAACAGAGGAACTCTGGGGTGATGTTTGTCACAACAGGAAACATCTGTCACCATGGACACTGATAGATCCCTATAGACGGTTAAGCTATTTCTATGTTGCATTTCCCTGCAAATGGATAACGTTCCACAAGCAATCACCATTCGCAATAAAATAGATGGTCCATTCTTTATTAACTGATTGAGGGTATAATGCTGCATTCACATGCAATCAGGCAGACAGACTTCAGGAAAAACGAACCAGCAGTCCAACTGAATGGCAGGACGGCGAAACAAAACACGCATGACAATATGCGGCTATGGTGAGGGAATACAATATAATTTGAAAAAATATATATATTTCAAAATGCATTGGCATTGGTGTAGATTTCTGAGTGTTGGAACTGCCAGTGACTACTCCAGACTAGCTGATTTGGGATGGACTTAAATATGGTGCATCTGGCACACATATTTGATTATGATTTTATGAAAACTTAATTTATTCAGGATAATCTCATTGAGATTTGGAATCTCTTTTGCAAGGGATTCCTCTTCAAGATGACAAGGTACATAAGAAACACAGAAACACAGAAAACAAAACAGCAAAAAGTTACCTTAGAACCAACCAGCAAACTGTTAGGGAAAGTACATTCAGTGCTCAAATGATCCTTGATCCTGTTTTTAACATCGCCCATGCTAATTGAATAATTTAAATGTCTCACGTAACGTTTCAAGAGCTTTCACCAAAAACGGTACACGATTTAGGAATGGCGAATATAATTTGTCTTCAAAATTGGAGGTGTAAGTGTGGCCAGAATGAGATTCACTTTAGCATAGGATAGCTTATAATTAGTCCTGATTGGGTTTTAAATGCATCGGATATTTTAAGTAAAGGAAGCTTCTCTCTCAGCACGACACCTGGACATGTTGTTCTGTCAGTCTCTCACCTCAACACGTGGAACTTCAGCCTTACCTTGTTAACAGCTGGAGTTTTTAGAGTCAACGGAGTTTCAGCCACTTCAATCAGCATCCAGTCTTCGTGTTATCACAGCGTTTAAATACACGCCGAGTAGCATTCTAGCGCTTGTGGCTTGTAAACACAATTTGCACAGTTGCTTCTCGAATGCACGCTGGCAGATTGGAAGCACATGTTTCCTGAATGTGTTCGCCAGGTCACAGCAGCAGCCACATATCTACTAAACCGCTGGTAGTGACTAAGATGTACTTGACTGCATTTAAAGCTGTTATTTCCAAAAATCACACTTTTAAGTTGCAAGCAGCAATTCTTACAGGCTCTTATTTCCACTGACAAAGGTTTGATGGCCAAAATGTCCAAAATAAAAAGTGTAGTCATTTGAAGAAATAGCTGACTACCAATGGACCATAACACAATTTGTGAAGTGTAATGCAAGGATAGGTTTATGCTATTTCGAAGGAGGCAAACAGCCATTACCCAGGTCTTTTTTTGCCATAAAGCTGCTGCTCCTGGAATAAAAATCTGAAAGTGACAGTTTTCGGCCGAGACATAAATACGAATTTCACTCATCATGAATTCTGGGCCGATTTAATGCAGTGAGTGCTCCGGCACTCCGACTGGTTAAACACAGTTTAAATTGCGTAGTAGGTGAGCGCAGAGAGAACGTTCACTTAAAGAGCTCTTTCAGGAAGCAGTAGTTAAATTACATTCAGACAGGATAAGAGCTAAGCCCAATTAGACCTCCTGAGCAAATCACAGACAGCTCCTTGTTGAATCTGCAATAAGATGCTTCATAGATATTTTAAATACACCGGGAGAGATCAGCGGTCTGGATTTCAACCTAATTTATAATGATTTAGTGCCCATCTGAATTCAATCGATATCCCTCCAGGGATTATTATGGAACATGCTTCATAAACCTTGTTGCACTTGTGGTTTCTCCATAAAGCTTAATGCATTTTTCTTTAGGTACTTATGTGGCACTTTCACATCAGTTGCAAGATAAGGAATGAATACATAACTAATAGAGTTGGAATTGTTCCTAAATATGTCAGCTTTGAGATTAAGATTTAGTTGTTTTTAGTCCAGAGTTCAAAAGTCTGTGTCAGTTTTGGTCATATTTAGTCAATTTCTTCCTTTTTATCATCGTAAATCTTTGGATGTTTTAGTCCCCACATTTAGTCATCAAAAGATTGGTTGACAAAAATAAAGTGAACATTTAAATCGAGACCAAGAATGAGCATTTTAATCTGCAATCCAAAAAAATGTCATCCAATTGATTTCATACTTAAACAACTGGCACTGAAAATCAGCCACAAAATGATTAAGAATGCAGCTTTGCAGGAGGGTGTCTGGTCTGATGTTGTTAATTTAAGCAAAACATCCAGGCATGAAACATGTTCTGATTTGCATATTAATATTTAACAAACACCATTCAACAAATGAGGTCTCCGGGTGAATGGAACATATGCTCTATACAATAGACACTAATTGACCCTTCGCTAAGTCCCGCCCCCGGCTGCTGCTCCGTCAAGCTGTCAGAGCTCTGTTACCATGGTGACCACACTGTCACTAACTGCATCCCCTGAATATATATTATCTTATATATTTTGGGTAAAAGAAATAGTGGTTTAAGAGAGAAGCAGGCAGAAGGTTCTCCAATGTGTTTAAAGGATATATCCAAGGTGTCAAACTGATTCAGCAGTGAAAACAGGTTGAAAAGATAAAGATAGAAGCTAAAGTCTACTGATAAAAGTGTGAAAGTGAACCAACACATCACCTGATGGAGACGGAGGACAATGAATTTAAGGGACAACGCTGTTCCCGTAAAGCCGGTCTTTTTTCACTGTTCCAATCATTAGAAACTAAAAGCAGCGTGTGTAAATTCAGTATACCTTCAGTAGCTAGCGTAGCATAGACGTGCTAATGCTAGTTAATGATGTGCTAACATACTCTGCTAATGTTAGCTCCGCAGGTTTTTTACGTAAAACGTAACATTTGAGATACATATGTCTCCTTTCAACCTCTCCGGGTAACGAGTATTACACAACTTTTAACCATGACTAGCTCCACATCCACAAAACCAGCCCAAATATCAAGAAAATCTGAAACGACTGCATGAGAGTCTGTGGAGCAGACCCTCTTGTACACCCTCCTGTCTCTATTTAGTTTTTTCCAAATATTAGATCATATTTATTTAGGGGTTGCAGTTAGTGACAGTGTGGGCTCCATGGTAGCTCTGACAGCGGGGCGGGGCTTAGTGAAGGGTCAATTATAAAAGACAGCCATCAGCAACAGCCACCTCCCTGACTGTAACACAGGTGCTGATTTTGCTGTAAACACCATGCTATAGACTGTGTTTTATTCATATAATGTTCAAGTGTTTTCACTATTTTGTACACTACCAAATAGACTACATTCAGCAGACATGGAGCCATTCAAAATCAACCTAATAAATATATGTAGCAACTATTTTATGCAGGCGTTAGTATGAATAGCACGTCAACAAATCCCATGAAAAGATGAAAATCCACACTGAATTGACCACTAGCAAGTTTTGTCTGGGTAACCGAAGCCTGATTTAACTTACTTCTTGCATTAGAGCTCCATTGTAATGCTCCATCTAATAAATGCACTTTAATGTACTCCTGTTTGAGAAACATTGGCGAAAAACTACAATGCCCAGCTGTTATATATATATATATATATATATATATATATGCTGTATATTATGACCCACTTTTACAGATGTATGTCTTCTGAAAGAGCAAATGGGCTTTGGGCTGAGAGCCAGTGTTGACAAATGGACTTATGCATTGTTGGTTTTGGTCTTTTCATGGGAATTGTGGACTAAAGGAAAAAAACATCTTATAATTCCAACCCTTTCCCTTAAAGTACAACATCATTACCAAACTGATAAGTAGCTACTGCAGCTTGAAGTGTAAATCCACTTTTAGTTCAACACCAAGCCAGCCGAGACAGCAGAATGCTCAGAAAATGAAATTTAATCATCACATTCACAGCACATTTGCATGAATATTTACATCCATATGTCATATTAATGGCAAACACAGCCACTCCAGACATTAAAGCAGTAAAATGGTATAACCGATACACTGTGGCAGTCAGGAGGGGCTGTGTAAGAAAGTACATATAATTCACAGATATAATATTTAATGGTATTGTGTTCTCTGAAATGATCCCTTTGTTGTTTACTTAGTTTGAGATATCTCACGTGTTTGTGCATGTGTATTTCAGGAGCTGATCTCCACGTTATACATTGGCTTTCTGAGCCTGATCTTCTCCTCGTACTTTGTCTACCTGGCAGAGAAAGACGCAGTCGATGGCAGCAGCTCCACCGAAATTGAAAACTATGCTGATGCCCTGTGGTGGGGAGTGGTAAGAATGTGTGTGTGTGTGTGTGTGTGTGTATGTGTGTGTGTGTGTGTGCGAGTATGTGTGTGTGTGTGTCTGTGTGTGTGTGATGGTTGTGACGGGCTTAATCAAAAGTCAAAAGTGGGTTTTTGAGCCCATTCTCATTCCCAGGTTGTCACGCCCTTTGGCGGGAACCCTTTTTCCTAAAACCTAACTAGTTTTATTGCCCAACCTTAAGCAAGTGCTTTTTGTTTGAGTTCACACTGTTAACCTGGTGTTTATTGCGACTGTACTTTGACACGCTGGGCTACTCAGTGCGTTACAAAGTGACGCCAAGGGTGCTGACCAAATGCCAGTATCTGCCGGGTTGGGATGAAAATGTCTGTTAGACCAGGGACGTCAAATTTACATTTACATCAGACCTGGTCCAGCCATCATTGGATGCTATTTTCTGATATATGAAGGATATGTTGATGTTTGAATTACTGTGTTTTTTTTGCAGAATTCATTCACCAAAGGATGGTTTGACGTTTTGGAAATACACTTTGATTCCACTCTCATGTCTGGATGATAAATACCAAGCTTTAGCCAGGAGACCTTTAGCTTAGCTTACGTAAAAAGACTAGAAGCAGGAAACAGCTAGCTTGGCTCTGTACAAAGGCAAAGCGTGTGAAAACAACACCTTATGAGAGCATTTATTGTGCCTGACTATTTCTTGGCTGTTTAGCTGTTTACCCCTGCTACCAGTCTTTATGCTAAGCTAAGCTAACCACCTGCTGACTGCACCTGCATAATCAACAGATAGACACCATCAGTTAATTGCTCAACTTTGTTGATTAAATACATTTTTCTCATTTCCATTATTTGTTAAAGTCGTTTAATTGATTTTACATATGTCATCACACATCGACACATTTTGATCAGACTCCTCAGAACTAACATCTTATGAACATTAACATTGATATTAATTGTATTTTGTGTCAAGAGAAAGTGGAATTGACTTCTAAATATTGTTTTTGGCACTTTCCCGTCTTGCCAAAAGTAAGATTTCTTTGCTGAACACATTGAATTGTTTTATACAGTATTTGGCAAGTGAAAGGTCGAACACAAACTGTTTTATCTGTACTACTGTTGTTACAGTAGGAGTTGTGTGAAAACCCTTGGGCACATCCAGTGGGCCGCTAATACAAGCAGCAAAGCAAGTAGTGCAGAGAATACAGGGTGAAAATTTATTTTCAGACAATAAGTCATCACCCACTCGGCTTTTCTGAGAAACTTCAGGGACTCTGATATTAAAAAACGTACACACACAGCAGAGTCATAACCAATTCTCTCATATAAATGAATGTTTATTTGCAATATTTACGCTTTATAAACCACATGCTCACAGTCAGTATTGAATACTCTCTGTGCATAAAGATGTGAGTGAGAGTCAGAAGTTTGAGTTGTGGTCGGAGGTTCAGGGAAAACATGGACATCACGCGCTACAGCAAACACTGTGAGTAGATTGATCACAACCATTAAAGATGGGTTTTTTGGTTCAAGTCACAAATCATTTACATGTCAAGCAGTAAAATGAAGAATTTATGAAGCTGTGCTCGGACTCAGTGTTTACATCGGTGATGCTTGGTGCTCAGGCACGGTCGGACTGTGATGGACAATGTTTCCCTGATGTAGATTTTTTAATATTAAGACGCCGGCCGTATCATCTGCCAACAGAATTGTTTTGTTGCTGTTTCAATCCATCCACTGTGAATAAAACTTTTAGTATTTTTCAGTGTTAATGTTTGTTTGTTTTTATTCTCAAAGGTGACAGTGACTACCATTGGATATGGAGACAAAGTGCCCCAAACCTGGATTGGAAAGACCATTGCATCCTGTTTCTCAGTCTTCGCCATTTCCTTCTTTGCTCTGCCTGCTGTAAGTGGAAAGAGACTTTGCTGAGCGAGGGCTTCTTTCTTGCATAATCGTACTATTTCCTTCAAATTACAAAAACAGAAAGTGCCTAATTTTGGTTTAAGTGTAGCTATGATTCATGTGTGAACCGGCCACTACCAGCCACCACAGTTAAAGACAGTTGAGAACTTACATACATACTGTCATAATATTGTGACTTAAGTGCTGTAAGGACCTTGACTTGAGCTATAATTCTCTTGCCTCAAATTTTTGAGGGTTAGTTTCAATTTGATTTTAAATATTTCCAGTGTAGTGTTAATGCTGAGTGAGGGTTGTCCCCTTGCACCATCTCACCAGCTCAGGAAAGAATAATAATAATAGTGACTGTGGTTTGAAAGAATTAGGATTAAGCATAGTTAGCGCTCAAATTATATTCAGTTTACAAAAGCAAGGAACCCATCACATTTAAGAAACTGTAACCCAATAAATAATATAGTGCATCTTTGGTTGACTATTTTAATCTATTAATTCTGTTAATGAACAAAGTGAATAACAGACTTATATGTTTCTGCAATAAACATCCCATTATTCCTTCATTTTTGTTTAACTTTGTGTTTATTTCCGTCTTTTGAGTCATGCTGCGGCTGCCTGAAAGTGTGTCATTAAAACTGAATTAATGAGCAGTATCTGCTGTGCTGCTGTTCACAGGGAATCTTGGGCTCAGGCTTCGCCCTGAAGGTGCAGCAGAAGCAAAGACAAAAACACTTCAACAGACAGATCCCTGCAGCCGCCTGTCTCATTCAGGTATTTGACCAAGAACACTGAAACAGAACCGCAATACAGCCGGCGGAGTGAGGTGTCTCCGAGCCCCAGCCTTATTATTGAGACCAACCTTTCATGTCCCTTACTTTCTTTCTCGCATTGGCATGAAATTAGTCCTGTCCAACCAATATAATGCTTTTTTCATACCCCTTCAGACATCATGGAGATGTTTTGCAGTGGAGAACTTTGATTCTGCCACATTCAAGATGTTTGTGAGGAAGAAGTCCAACATCCCCGCCTCCTCTCTGTCCACCCCCAAGCCCAAGAAATCGGTTAGTAACCATTTGATAGATTTAATTGTAACTCCCCCTTACTCGGTTTCCAGTTTAGTAGGTACACCAAGGCAAAACTAATGCAGTATGAAGCAACAGCCCTGCAATACTGTGAATCCTGCTTTCAAGAAGGTAATTATAGTCAGTTTGTGGAAACTGTTTTTGAGAGGTGTTGATTCATGCAAAATACCTGCTGGCTAGTGGCTAACCTAGTGCTCCAGTAGTATGCTGAAGTCTTACCCAGACTCAATACACAATAGAGCCTACAATATTTCATGGATGCAAGCCAAGGCAATGAACTGGGCTTCGAGCCAACGTTTCCTTGTGCAATTGTTCGTATGATATCTTATGAGAAAGTTAGTCCTCATTTTTATTGCCTTTTCCTTGCGAAAGTCAACAAAGTTAAGGCAACAAAGCAACTTGGCTAGGTTTAGAAAAAGATTGTGGTTTGGGTTCAAATAGCTACGGAAGTGACGTTACTGAAGTGACAAATACATTTCTCGTTTGACACGGGGCACAAACAATAGTCTCCTGGGTGAAAGACAGATTTTTTGTTTGACCCATCCACCTCCCCTCCCCTGCTGTACTTGTACAGCGCTTTTCTAGTCTTTCAACCACTCAAAGTGCTTTTTCCACTATATGTTCATTCACCCATTCACACCCTTTCATACACTGATGGCAGAGGCTACCATGCAAGGTGCCAGCTGCCAATCAGGATCATCTAAGCATTCATGCCCAAACATACCCATAATGCACAGCATTCAGGAGCAATTTCCATCGACATGGACTAGCGGAGCGCGGAGGACCTGCTCTACCACTGAGCCACAGTCTCCCCAGAAGTAGGTATAGCTACTTGCGCTGTTTGAGAACAGCCTGCTTTGCACACACATCCCCAAGGCTGGATAATGTATAATTACTACACAACCACACAGCACACACACCTTTCTCTCTCTAAGCCGGCACGCACACACCTACACACACATACACTTGTGTCACTGTATAACTTTTATGCACAAAGGTCTTACCATGAAAAGATCCACTGCCTTTCACGTTGTACTGGGTAACTGTGTTTTATAAATTACACAACATTTCTATTGCAGACCATTTGCAACAGCGTCATCCATGGAATAAGACCTTACCAGAAACAATACACACATACCCACATATTTCTTTTCTGTATTCATTTTGTGAATTCATATTTTGCAACTTGAATAATTAGTACTGCTGGAGTGAGCTTTAAAAAGACATTTAATAACAATTGCAAGTGACAAATAGGTTTTTTAAAGAGTTTTCAGGAGACCCCCTTAAGTTTTGCTATTGAGGCTTTCAGGGGGTCTCAATTGTCAATCAATGGGTCTCGGACCTCCCCTTTCCCCAAGACCCCCTGCTTTTTGCCCATTGATTCAACTTCATGGTCATTTTGAAGGCTATAGTTGGATTGAAAGAAGTGCCACAGTTGGACTTCTGTAATGCTTAGTTCAGCTTTAATTCATAAAATAATCCAATCAAAGCCAAAAGAAGAGCCACCCCATCACTAACTGTCCGCAGTGAGTCCCGGCTGAAGCGACGAGAATCTATGTTACGTTATTTGATGGTGTGATAACGGTGTCACAATTTATTGTTGCATTGATTTTGAGGATTAAAAGCTGGTTGATGAAACTTGAAATGTAAGTTTTAGCGTTATCATTACTGTGACGGATGTCTATGTTGGTGTGAAAACTCTGTGGGGAAAAAAAATACAAGAAAGTAAGGCAGGAAATAAAAACATACAGTATGCAACCAAGACAGCCAGCGGCAGTTTAATATTATTATTCATGATTCAATTCTTTGGTGCTGCCACAGACCATGCCCACGCCAATCATTCCATTTAAAAAATGTTGCTTGTGTGTGTCAAAGGTGTTCCCACTAGACTTAACGGGGTCTGACCTCAAAGTTGTGATATGTCTAGATAACAGCAATAAACAAATATGTTAAATATATAATATAAATATAACAGTGATTCATGCGCTGCTGCATTTAGACCCTCCATCAATGTTCATGCATTCATTATACAATCACATATACATAACAAGAATAGAAAACTGCACCATTTACTGCTCCTTTATTGGCTTACATATAAAGTCAGCGACCACAGATTCCTAACATTGCTGCGAAGCCGGATTATTTTAAGTGAATGAATATTTGAACATGGTTTTGCTCTCCACAGAAACACGTGAACTGAGATGTTTGTATTTGTTTGGGCAGGTGAAGATAAGGAGGAAGTTGAAGAGCAGCGACAACGACAACGGTCCAACTTCTCCCACAATTCCCAGCATCACATACAGCTCTGTATTTGACAGCGGCATGGAGCTGAGTTCAGATGCTTACAGCACTGTGGGCACAGGTACTAAACACGGCACAAACAGTGCAATATGCTTTACTGATTGTGCTCCAGTGCACTTTAATCGCTGTGTCAACAACTTTGTTTGCAACAGAACATATGTAGGAATACACTTTCGCTAGATGTCTCAGAAAATTCCGTCTTTCCATGTGTGGTAGATGTTAAACGAGGTTGATGAGTGTCTGAGCCACTTACATGGTTTCATTTAAACCTGAATAAGCTCTTGCAATGTTGCTCAAGATGCTGCATAAGAATGACAAGAAATGACTACTGCAGTATCAGAGATGATACAGTAAAAAGAAAATGTTTGATTTGAGCTCCAGTTGTGCAGTATTGTAGCCTCAGAAGGGGGAGAGGACAAAGTCCAGACATTAAAGATGAATGAGCACATTGCAGCAATAAAACACGAGAGTTTGCATTGATGAGCATTAACTCCTGTGCTGCACTGCTGAACTTACAAAACCCCACACATACTGTGCTGCTGGATCAGTAGTGGATAGCTGAGAGTGACATCAAGGCGCAGTTCAAATCATATACTGCATAGCTACAAAGTCATTCTATGCAGCCTGTGTGTTGCACATACTATGTGTCTGTCGATACATTTTAAATTAGTTGCAGTTGCGGTTGCAATTAGGAGTGTCGGTTGACAGAAAGTGAAACACATTCAACAATCTCAGTGGACTTTCATTTTGCAAATGTCTTTGCGGTAACGGTTCTGAGCACGCAGAGATGCGGAGCAGGACTCACAGGCAGAGTAGTTCAAAGCAATAAATCGTTTACTTGGTTGGAAGTTCAAAGCCGAGTTCAGAAACAAGCAATCCGTCAGCAAGCTTAGCAGGCAAGGGGCAGGCAGGCCGGAACCGGGAACAAAAAGCTGGCAAGAAACAGAAACAAGGGCTGGACCACCATGACTGTGTAGTGGGTTTACGTCAGACTATCTGGCAAATGACTGTGGAGAGAGGGCTCTCGTACATATGCAGGGGAGATAAAGGGAAATGGGGACCAGGTGTGCAGGTGTCAGGACTTTGGTGATCCCTTCCTCACTAGGCTTAGAGGAAGAAGTGGACGTCATTGTGACGTCACCCATTGGTTTATGTTTTGAAGCGCAGAGTTCAGCGATTTCGCCGTCGGCGTCTTGGATTACGGCCGTCGCCATGTTGTTGTTTTTTGCAGCCAATGCAAGGAACAGAAGTTACCATATTTGTACCAATTTGTACCATATCTGGACCAATTTTAGAAATTGGTCCAGTATTGAGCGAGAAGGCTGGAGACGGCAGCCGCTCAACGGGCTGCAGTGTAATCGCTCCGGGCGATTCAACACCGTCAATGTACATTCACTTAAAGAGCTTGTGTTTGCCACTGAGAGGCTCCGACTGTTATTATGTGTCTGACAACATTATGGAAAGAAATAAAAGAAAGAGCACGCAAAATACCTCTGCTAATAAAATCCATGCTCTACTTTACACGCTCAGTGGTTATGTCAAAGCAAGCGACTACTAGGCCATTTTGGAAATAACCTCCGATAAATGTATTTCACTAATGTTTCTGACTGCGAGTACACACCTGGGTGTGTTTTTCAGGGCCGGATTTTGTGATTTGGGGCCATCTTGCTTTACTTTTCACCCTTTCTCTAACTGTAAATGTTGGTATGAGGTAGAAGAAGAAACTTTTTTTTTCTGAAGTAAAACTATTAATTATTAATAGTAAAACTAAAAATAGTGCACAGTAAAAGTCCTGCATTCAATTTTTTTTACTTCAAGTGCAGAGTGAAAAAGAGGCATTATCAGCACAATGTACTTATGTTCTTATCTGTTTAAAGTGGAGCTTTCAATTTGAAAAGAATGCTGAATAATTCAATGAATAATAATGCATTATATTTAGTTGTGGGCCCCCAGGCCCAGGTTGCCTAATTACACTTAAATCTGCCCCTGGTGTTTTATTTGTTGCTGTGAACCAGAGCGTATTTCACTCGGTTTTCTAACCGTGACAAGCTGCGATTTTTGTGTGTGACTTAACTATGTCATGGCAGTCATAATATTGCTCGGGACCCAAGAAAACGCAGGGTGTGAAGTTGTTTGTTTGAGTGGATTTAGAGAGAGAGATGCAAGTATAAAACACTCGAAGGCAAAGCATTCGGCCCGCTCTGAACACGCACTGCAGTTGTGTTGCAAATCTGAGTTAGAACTTAAGTGATTCCCAGTAACCTTCTGACAGACATGGGATGAAAGTAACTGAGATGTTTTCATCAAACCTAAACACATTCCCAGAGCAACAAAGGCTCACTAATTAAATATCATCTTTGAAATTACCTCATTAATTTCTTCTCTTTTTTTCACTCATTTCATTTTCCATGTTCATTCATTTTAGCCTTCATCGTGTCCCTTGATGTTTTTCTCCTCATTTTGTGTTTTACATGTATTTGTAACCCCTAGAAAGGATTTGAACAAAGTAAATGAATCATCATTACCTAAACAAAGGAGGTTATGCGTTCGGTTCGGTTTGTTGGTCGGTTTTTCAGCAGGATTGTGAAAAAATGAACCTGATTTTCATTCGACTTGGTGGTAGGGTGTAGCATGGGCCAAGAAAGAACCCTTTCATTTGGTAGCGGATTAGCTTTAGCTCTCCGGATGTCCTTCTAGTTATTATTCTAGTCAGTGCTGTAAAGACCTGGCTATTGGTACTCAAAATCTTTAAGGTATTGAGCGAGTAGTATTGAAACTTCTCCAGTCAAACGATACCTGCATTTGATCCTTTTGTTGTCCAAGATCTAGAAAGAAAAACTATTTGTATGGTTGTTCTTGCACAGTGAGATTGGCCCGCTGTGGTTTGAATTTGCAGTTCAGCGTGCCAAGATGCCACCAAAATGTTCAATATTATGGTTTTAATACACATCTGTGGCGTCTGATGAAAATAAATGCGCTGGAGGTGGCATTTTAGGTAACTGGATGCTTAAATTCACATGCTGGCTATCGAATGAGGTGGAAAAAAGGGTATTAAGTACTCTTAAGTACTCTATTGGTATCTGTATCACTGTAAGGGTACTGGTGGTGATACTGTTATCGTAACTTTTATGAAACAACAATACCCAGCCCTACTACATGGAGGGCATTAACAGACATTCTGTTCCATGTAGATGAACAAAATTAGATACTAGAGAAGACACAATGAGCATGCTAACATCTAATTGGATGTTATTCATTGTTGTGCTTAGTTATATATCCTTTTTAATCTTACACGAGCTGGCAACCCGAAAAGCCGCTTAGATGCGCAACAGCATCTCTGCCACCAACATGCAGCCGTACAAATGGGTTCTGCTTTGCACTCAGCTCTCAGCACAACAGCGGATTTTAATTTGCCCAGTTGTGAAGACGTATGCGTGTCTGTTCGCTTCGTGTTCAATGAAAATCAGTGTCTTTGATTTTAAGCTGAAGAGATTTTACAGGTCGCACTGCTCGTCTTTCATCTACTGCATGCTGCTTGTAATGAATCATTTAACTGAATTGCCACGTTACCATCTGGTGTGTGCGTATATATTGACTACACAAAGCGCTCGGCTGCTTACAGAGTCAGCTAACGCTAGTTGCCTGGATTGGTTTTCAGAAAACATGCCGTTCAAATTCAGTAATTACAGTCGGGGTTTTAGGTGGGGGGGGGGGTTATACTTTAATTTGTTGAGATTTTTGAGCTTTTAGCTTGTAGTTAACTAGCAGTTTTATTAGAGAGGATACAACCAATCACATGGTGGTCACATGGTGGTCACCTCTACAAAATGAATTCTGTGTACTGCAGCAGTTCTGAAACTAATCCTTCATCAAGATTATAATGTTCAGTCTTGGTGGAACTGTTTTTGAGAGGCGTTAACTCAACTTCATGATGTTTTTGGAGGATGCAGTTGGTGGTTTTGTTGAATGGTATTACGTTACACTGACACTTAATACTTATTGTCTACCCCATTAATATCAATGAGGGTAGGATGAATGAAACAACTCTGTGTATATATATATATATATATATATATATATATATATATATATATGTGATTCTGTGTGTGTATAGTCTCCAAATCTGATCCAATTTAATCCAATTTAAGTGCCTATTTTCTTGCTTGTGTCTTTGGTTCCTCTCTCGATGTGTGCTTTGTCCGTGTAGCTGGTTCCACACGTCCTCAGCACACTTACTGTCGTCTCTTACTGTCCATTTTAACAACCTCCTTTTTGTTATCTTGTCAGTTACTCTAAAAGCATCTCTTTTTCTTTTTTTATCCACGAATGATCCCGTGAGTGATGAATGGAAAGTTGCATGCTTAGTTAGCACCGTAGTATGTGACTTTTTGTTTGCCCTGTGGTAAACATTGATCGTGTTTGTGTTTCTCATCACGCGTGCTTCAGATTGCCAGCAGTCCTGGACGTCTTTGTCTTCCCTTCAGTTCAGCTCACCGCCTCCAGGTAACAACATGTTTTGATATGAATGTTTCTGGGTTTGCATGGGTCACGTGTAGATTCAACTACAGTTTGAAGTGTTGATATCTCACGTGCTGGGAAGAGGAGGTCTGGATATGTTGAGTTCATCTATAATGTAATTTTTGGCATTTATTTAAAAAAAAAAGAGATAATAGAAGTTTTACTCCAAGAAACACATTCACAATTATGTATCAGGAAAATATTGCGATGCCACGTTTTCTCTTTCAGACCAGTTGTATCACACTTCTCTTGCTGGTACAGTTTCAAAACACCGTTTTTGTGGATTAAAATGATGCACGAGTTTCCACACAGTCTGCCGCAACAATTCTGCCATATTTGCTGTAGACTTCTTGTCGCTCGGGACAAAATGCAAAAAGTTGTGTGCTGCGTCATGAGGTCAAGGAAAGATATGGTGGAGAATTCACAAGACAAACGCTGTGTGGATGTGTTTTTTTTTTTAAAGCAACTTTATTTACAACTGTCCAAAAAACCTCCTGAGAAAGATGTTAAATGATTGTGTCACAATTGTTGTGTCATTTTAAATGTTGCTGCCGCAAGGAATTGTGGGACGTCGCTATGTCCTTTCCTTTGGTAAAAGATGGTTCAGTATACCCTTTGCTGAAGGAGATAAAAAAGGAAGCATTGAAGCACCTTTCCTAAGCATTCAGAGTCCAGCTCTTATCATGGCTGTCACTGAGTCAAGCATCCTCAAAGAGAAAGAGAATACGAGTTCATTTACAAATACAGATATTTGATTTCTATTTATTTTCCTTTATTCATTTATTCTTTGCACTTCAGGGAATATCAATCAGACTGGTGTCGTGTTGTTTTGATTAGATATCTCAATTTCTGTTAATTTTCATAAATCATGTTTATTTTTATTGTGCACTCGAGGGACCATCAGTCAAACTGGTGTCGGTTTATTCATCTCAACAATATCCTTTATCTGTTTCTGCAAATGAAATCTCCTGTACACAGAGTAAGTTTTCTCACAAGAACAAAATGCTTTTAAAATTGCCACTTTATATATGGAATGAAGGGGCAGCGCAGCAGCAAAAACCACAAGTAGCCAATAAACCTTTCCTCTTAGCTTCTGTGGAAATAAAACTAAGCAACCTAATACAACATAAAAGCTCATTTATTTTCCTTATCCTGATGGGCATTGTAAGATACACACCATTGTTGCAGCAAGAAATCAACAGAGAATAATTAAATAAATTACATTTTGAATCATCATGAATCTTAACCTGACGCGAGTCCAAAGCTATAAAAAAGCAAAACTCAGTGGTGTGAGGTAGTTACGACGGGCCACAGTGCACGCTAGTTTGACGGTACATATATACACACACATATATATATACATATATATATACTGTATGTATATTTATATATATACAGTATATATATATCATACCATCAATGTATTGAATTTACAGTCAAATTATTTACTTAGGCTATATTGTATAGAGTGCTGCAGGAATGAGTCCTAAATCCAGGAAATGAGTCGCACCTCTAGTTCCCACGTCTCGAAGTCAATGGATTTTTGAATGGGTTTTTGGTTAGAAGCCTTATTTTCTGCAGTAATCCAAAATCCATCCATCCATCCATCCATTTTCCACCGCTTATCCGGGGTCGGGTCGCGGTGGCAGCAGGTCAAGCAGGCCGACCCAGACCTCCCTCTCCCCGGCAACATGTTCCAGCTCATTCTGGGGGATCCCGAGGCGTTCCCAGGCCAGCTGGGAGATGTAATCTCTCCAGCGTGTTCTGGGTCTTCCCCGGGGTCTCTTCCCAGTTGGACGTGCCTGGAAAACCTCCAGTGGGAGGCGTCCATGAGGCATCCAAAATCCAATGGAAACAAATCCCCATGGATTTTGGAAACCCTGCGAAGCTAACTTCTGGGTTGGCCAACAAAAATACAAAGTAAAACTAAAAACACTAACATTAGGCTTTGAACAGACTACAACACGGTTGCTAAGCTAGTTTTATTTAGCCACTTGTGAGCAACCGCCTTTTATAAAAACTCACGAATGGGGTATTTACTGATGTATTTTATGTTGTAGAAAAAAACGTTAAAATCGACCAAGCTTGTGTTAACCACAGACCTTATTTAAGGCATCTACCCAAAAACACATTTAATAAAAAAAATTTAAAAAAACATTGACTTTGAGTCGAGGGAACTGGAAGTGCAAAAATGCTGACTCATTTATGGGTTTTAGGACTCATTCCTGCAGCACTCAATAGGGAAAGTAGAGAAGTCAGAGATAAAGCTATCTACATACATATAATCATTGCATATATGACAAAGATACAAGAAAAATATTAATATATGTATTGTTTTCGTTAAAAAAAAAAAAACGTGATTTTGTTGACTTTATAAAAAAAAAGAATCGAGAACCATGTCTTTTCGAGGGCACATCAAGGAAATGGCACCAGATGACTTCCTTGCACACAGGTGTTTTTCAAAGGTACCAATCAAAATGTACTGTTGTTGAAGGCCGGCTCTCTGTGTGGGGCCCCAGTGCAGCTGCTCCGCCTGCACTGCCCGTATTTACGCCCCTGGCAAAACCTAATCAGCAGCATCACTGAATGTTCTGGATGCCCAGATATATTGATAACTAAAGTCCTGTGTGTCTATGTGTGAACGCACAGTGAAAAGAAGCCCGGGCCTCTTGGACGTCCACTCCCCCGGCCCCCTCCAGAGGAACTGCAGCTTTGCAGACGACCTGGAGCTGGAGCCGGAGCGCTACAGCGAGCTGGCTCCCGTCACCTCCGTGTCACAGTGAGTGCAATGCAATGGAATTGGTGCTGTGTTTTACGTGCCAGTGTGTTTTAATGAGCATGTTTTAATGAGAACGTTTACACATTAATTTTTTTCTATTTTTTTCTGCTCCTCCTAATTAACCCTCGTATGTTCCAAACCCCACAGTGCTCCGGTCTCTGTTGTCAAGTGAGTCTCTATTAGGAAAAAAAACACTTGTGCTCGCAGAGGCACTTGCACAGCGAGAGACGGAGACCGATATGAGGAAATGAGTGTTAAGTATCTGTAGTGCGATGCAAGTTGCACAGTAAGTGAAACAAATGGCGCGACAGTTTTGACCCATGGGGATTTCCTTGCTAGACGCTGGGGTAATGATGCAGAGTGGGAACTGCATGCGGCAGCGTTGCTGGCGAGGATCACTCTGTGCTCTGCCGACTCCAAAATACGTAACCAGCTGTTCACACAGAGCAATGCCACATCAAATCCCATGCTAAATTGAACCATTACAAGATACTACTGCTGGTTTCATCCATGATTAGAGAACACTTTGTTTGAAAAAAGCTAGAAAATGTTGCTTCTTTTTCCCAGGTTTGCTTTGTATTTTGAGCTGCAATGCAGATTGAATTCCACAGTCTCCATATTGTGTACAGCAGTTGAACAAAAAGCTAAATTAAGATGCAGTATGGATTCTGGATGCAGGGTAGTTTACAGAAGTCATATTTCTGCAGCTGCCCTGGTGTTGACACACACAGTGTTGGTAAATTGAAGACAGAGATATTGAGAGTTATATAACGCAACTGCCACACATTTATCACAAACAAACACAACTTACACCTCTAGTCACGCAGCGGCGGACGTGGTCTTTAAAGTGAAACAACAACAGAAAAAAGCTGGGATTGCAGCAGTTAGGTGGGTGAGGGTGTTGAGGTTTACAGCCTCCCAGAAAGATTTGTTTTCATGTTTCTCACATTGTACTGTTTGTTTCGATGTCATGAATCAGTTGGAGAGATCGCAGGAGAAAACACAAGGTGTAAAATCAGTTGCACTTGGGGCCGCGTTGAGCCAAGGCTGACTACCTTTCCTTGATGGCAACAGAAGTTTTACACACATGTTCGTTTAATGTCGGAGTAAAGATAAGAAACACTCCCTATTCAAACTGCACTTTCAGTAATATTCATTAGAGTCATTAGAGTTGAAAAGAAGTGTCCACCTGTTGGCCTCACCGTCGGTCTCTCTGGTTATATCACCACCATTTGCGGTGGAGATGGAGCCATATAATAGATCACGGAGCACTTTGCAGTTCACGATTTTGTTCTAATGTGACAAAATGTTATGATACATTCGCTACATTTGAATGTCAGACCATTGCATAGCCTGTGAAAAATACATTATGAGACACACTCAGACCGTGTTCCTCTACTGGACTTTACAAAGAGCTACTCCCCACCTCCCATATTCATTTACTGCTTTTCCTCGTGTAGCCAGATGAGTAATAGCCCCTTAATACTTCCCGCAACATAATAATGGAGGCTAAATGCACTGCAATTATTCTGGGCTTTTTATTTCTGATTTTCGGAGAAAGACACAGACACCACAAATCTCAGTGGCTCAACTTGTTCCCATTCAAATGAAGACGAGTCATAAGGTAGAGGCTTTTCATGTAGACTGAACAGTAATGAGCAAACTGCGCTGAATGTTTTGGGTTTGAAGGCCATGTCAACCATCCTTTCACAGTGATGTGTTCCTAAAAAGGAAAATAAAGCAGCGGTGTAAAGGAAATCCAAGCAGACTAATCTAGGTGTTAAAGTTGTACATGCTTTCTCTGATACTTCTGTAAAAAAACAGTAATTTTCACAATACTCGTTGCATTTTCTTGGAAGAAATTCAAACTGATTCATATGAAACTCTTGTACACAGATTGACAGACTCGCACCGAAAAGCCATCCGGGTGATCCAGAGAATGCGTTGGCTTGTGGCCAGGAGGAATTTCCAGGTGTGTAAGATAGCAGATAACCTTTTTCTCACGGGCTGTTTCTCTAATTGTTAACATTTTAGTACTTCTAGTCTGAATTTGAATTATAATTTAGTCAGTACACAGTATGTACAGTTATTATTTGGAAAGTTCAGCAGCAGAGATTGTGGAGTGATGATAGTAAACTTTGCCCCATGTAGAGTTAGACCTACAGATGGATGGAGGTTGGGCTTATGATGACAGCAGCAGTGGAAACAGCGAGTGTTTTGGCGGAGTGTAACAGCGTTTTACAGCACATTAGCACATCAGCCGCTGCTGACGGAAAAGAAAAGTTGGCAGAGCTTTGACACCTTAAATTGCCCATCACAACAATTGTGAAGAAATGTTTTGTTTTTTATGTAACAGTTTTACACGTTTTTGTCCCCGTTGCAGCAAGCTCGTAAACCGTACGATGTGCGCGACGTGATTGAGCAGTACTCCCAGGGTCACCTCAACCTCATGGTGCGAATCAAGGAGCTGCAGAGAAGGTAAACCGCTTCACGTGAAATATTATGCAGCTTTGTAGAATACTCGATTCGGATTAGTCAATTACTGCATTCTCCGGGCTATCATTTCTGTATAGCAGACCTCTGCTCGCCGTAGTGAAGCCGGTGCGCCAGAACGTGACGCAATTACGCTGTGTGTTGGTCGCGCACCTCTGAACTTTGAGCACAATCAGAGCTTTTCAGACGTGACCATCACAAATAGTTCACAGATAAAAGTACTGTTGACATGTTGGAGAAAAAAAGGCCAATTCATTTTTAAACGCTGGAGAAGCCGAGGCTCTTTAAAATCTACATTTGAGTAAATATTTTGCAGCCAAATCAAATTGATGACAGGATATTCGACTTTTGTTTAATTAGAATGCATTGAATACAATGAGATAGGAGTTTACAGTTAATTACAATTCCTCCTCTGCATTGTGAGGTTGGTTTTATGGCTTTCTGCCGTTTATACTCGCTGTCTGTTTTCATTCTTCACAGCACATTTTGATTGTACACCCTTTGGCGTTTTCTGAGAATAATGCAATAAACAGCTTGTTGAGCATGAATGCCCCTGTGTGTTCTTGTAGCTCGTGTGCCATCTGCGGAAGCTCGCGCAAGTTTAAACATAGCTTAACAGACCGTTGCTATGGATGCAGTTCTGATCACCGCACACAGCGAGAGGATTGTTGTTGGTTTTTTACAGATGCAATAAAATCATTTTTCAAATCAATATTTTGTGTTAGATCATTGATATCCTCAGCAAGTAACCAAGTAATAAAGGATAATGCACAGCGAGCCGGTAATTATTTTGAAACTAATCCATTTCAGGGTGAGTTGCAAAAAAACTCAAGAAAACAAGAGGGAAATACAGAGAGGGTGTGTCAATATATATTCCTCTGACTTGAAACTGCCATTGTTTTTCTCAGACTGGACCAGTCCATAGGGAAGATAACTTTGTTCCAGTCGGGCTCCGGTAATGAATCAACCTACTGCACTCTTAAAATATATTACAGTAACTATTGAACAAACCACAGTCCTAATCCTCCTGTCTTTTTATTTACTTCCCTCTGAAGACAGAGCCAAAGACAAAGGGACCAACTCTATCGGATCCAGGCTCAACAGGATTGAGGACAAGGTGGGAATTTGTGCAACTTCAATGGAAAACTGGAACAATATTCATTTTTACAGTTTCAGATCATGTCTTTTTTTTGTGAAAGAGAATAGTCAAATATTTACATGGTCGTGTTTTTATTCATAGCTTTAACTTTTGTGGAAATGTAACAAAAAGGCCTCTCTATTGACCAGACAGTGGCAACTTATTAAAAGAAACTCAAATCGGGAATAGTTTTGGAGAATGCAACAAAAGTTGAACTGCCGTTTTAATATGAAATATCCGCGCATAAGACATGTGGCCCTGTTACTGTCAAATCAAATGCAAAACTTGTAACAGCTTGTGCCAGTTCTGCAGCATAAATAGAGAAACCTTGATGTTGTTTTTCTTTCAGTTCTTTTCAAGATGGCTCAAAACAAAAATGTTGAATCACAACCTTCCCCAAATGCTTCCCCAAGTGTGCCTCGTATTCCTGCCTTTTTAAACATGTATGAAATTAACAAACGAAAATCTTTTTTTTGGTCGAGAAAGGAGTTTTGTAAATAAGGTGGTTAGGGCTTGTCATTTTCACAGCTCAATGTATTGTGTCATTTTGACTTATAATGAATATCTGTCATTAATGCTGTTGTGTTCTTTCTTGAAATGTAATTTTGTTCGGTGGGCTATTATAGACTATTTACTGTACAGCAGTAAAATCATTTGGCACAGGTTGAAGGTTAATGCTATAATGCTTGTTGTCAAATGCGTCAAAGGACATAGTGCAACATTTAAATGACTCTTGAAAGTACTTCTTTGAGTAAAAAGAAACATAAGTAGTGAATCCAAATCCGAGCCAGTACATGTTGCTTTCATTTGTCAATATTTGATTCAACTGTCATAGATAACGCACATGGACCACACTCTAAACCGCATCGCAGAGTCCCTTTCCGCTGGATCAGAGGGACGACGGTGAGGGCGAAGGTGGAGGCAGGCTGAGGCCACGGCTTGGACGGACCAGTAATGTCCTCCCCAGCCTGTACAGCCTGCCAAGCTACGACCAGCTGTCCTCATCACCTTCGTCCTTCTCCGCCAACACCGCCAGCAGCACCGCCGCGGCCTTCACCAAGAATCCTCTCAGCAGCACCGGCAGTCAGGATGAGAGCGGCTGAAACCTGGAACCAAACATCCTCAAAAGTTTTTCTCTTTTTAGTATAAATCATGAAATTCTGATTGTATCCAGTTTTTACTCCATCTATCTGGCTGGCTGGCTAAATGTATTACAGTTTAACAAAATGATGTTATTCCATCAAAAATAAAAAGTATAATTTCTGTAAAACTAGCATTTTACATTTGCTCATGAGTGGATTTTAAATCCACTCATGAGGAGAAAAACTCCCCAGCTAGCTAAAATCCTGCTAAAGCTAACATACTGTAATTAGCTTAGTAGCCTATATTTCATGTGGAGTTCATGTGCTTGAGTTTGATAATTAGAGACACCTAGCTAAGTAGATACACTCAATTTCTAAAAGCTATGGACTGTACGCATTTTAAAAGGAACACTATTCTCTAAATGACCAGCTTGAAAATACATAAAATGAAGGCATTATAACTTTTTTAGACAAATGTAAACCCTTTTTTCAACCACATTGCCTGTTATTACTCTCTGCCAAACATCACCTCAGATCTATATGTGAAAGAGAATTATTTTTAAAATTCCAACATAGATTTTTCAGTATATTTTATTGCCATTAGTTTCATAACCTTGAAGTTTAAAGTCTTTTAGACATTATTTCCTTTTGGATTCTTTGTTGCCTTTTTAAATATTACTTGAAATCTATTCAGGTTAAAGCCAAAGATTTTGCCACTGCCACGGCATCATGTACTGTGATTCAATATGCTGTATTCTCATGAAAGAAACTAATTTAATTCATTTATATTTAAGGGAAGAGGCCTTACTTTTCAATACTTCACTTGAAAAGTTTCAATTTAATCAAATTTTCCACTGTTTTTCGCTTTTGTAATGTTTAGAACTATCCTGTTGCAATAAACGATTTTGGTAATTATTACCAAGTGTCTTGTGTGTTGTGTCTGGTGCCTTAAGGGGAATATCTGACAAAAACAAATGAGCTAAATATTTCAGTTTATAGTTTTCCCTGCCAGAGGTTGTTTGAAAAAGAGCAAAAAGTTCAAATTTTTACATTAAAAAGTGAATGTTTTTGCAGTTGCTTTTCTCCTCAGTCATCAATCAAAGTGGATGCATCACTTCAACTTGCCGTTTCCTTAATAACTGCGTATCACTCGTGCTGGCAGCAGAGTTTCCTTTATTGTAGCGGGGGGGGGGGCTTTGTTGTGTCCTCACTGCCTTAGGGAAATAGACAGAAGTATGGCTAAAACCATGCTCCTTACACGGGTGACCTTTGGGCGGCAGATGGTGACCCTTTCCCCGCTGACCATCCATGGGGTGTCCAGGCATTCCTTCACACAAGTGGCCGGGTGGAGAAAAGGCCCAAGTGACCATCTGCCACTGGTGTCCACAACAAAGGGCCAACCACCCTCCTAAAGTGTGCTGAGGTCGGTTGGCCTTTGTGCTGACCAGGAGGTGGGGGACGGCAGAGTTTCACAAGAGAGAGAGTGTGGAGGTTTTAAAAAGACCCCCTCCCCCCTCATCTCCCCACCACAAGGAAATGTGTATGAAGTACAACAGTCATAAACACAAATATAGAGGATCAATCTATCCAAAAGAACTGAACTAAATCGTCTTCTTTGTGAATAACTGCTTTGTCCGAATGACGGTGGTTAATTTGCTGAATCAAATACACAAAGCTACAAATTTAAATAAATTCTTCATGATTTTAGGTGTATTATTTCACCTTAAAATTTCAAAGCAGTGCATTTCTAAATCTACTAACACTCCAAGATGGCAAATTTATCAAATTAAGGAAACGTATTATCTTTAATAACTTCTGCCTCCCCTGCAGTTTTGTCATTGAGCTACTTCTAATTTGAAACAAACCTGATCAGAAGAAGCAGAGATCTGTACATATCTAATACATTCAGCACCAGTACTGTATTAATTGACACAATCGCTGCACTCGTGACAACGTAATTTACTGATGATGTACTGAGCAGCTTGTAGTGTACATCTTTAACAGAATTTAATTCAGGCGTTGGGTGGAAAAATTTGGATCCCACGGGATCTTTTGGACCCATGGGTTAGTTTGATTATTGATTTCTTGACTGGTACAGACACAAATCCACTGTAGCAGAATGTTAGATCATCTGTTCCCAATGCAGAAACAACACACTTAACATTGGCTGTCCTTGGCATTGAGGCGGTTTAAAAATGTAAATGTGATGTTTGCTCTTTCTTGTTTTTATGCTTGAACACATTCCCTTTGCTGCAGTAGCACACAAGTAAACATGAGCGAAAGTGAGAATAAACATTGGTGGGATTGGGTTGGCCACATGTCAATGATAATAGCCACTTTGACTCTGAAAAGGGGACAGAGTGAAAAGAGAAAAGTTGAGGAAAAGACCTGGGGGGTCGAGGAGCTCCAAAGGCTGATTTGCAGGTGAAATAGACGGCACACTCTGCTTTGTGGCCATTGTCCTGCTCCGCGGCCAGATGGCCTCTTGGAATCCTTTAGAGCTGAAAACTCCAACACTGTGGGAGTGAATACGCCTCTGTGGGATTTGGCCTCTCTAATGGGCTAATTTGGCAGTTACAGCTCATATTAACGGATATAATTTCAAGCCTGACAGAACAGTCCTTATGATTGTGATTATGAAACATCTCATAATACAACCCAGAAAATGCAATTACTCGAAAACCTTTTTTTCTCTTTTCGATTGCCAAACTTGCAACTTGAATTGATTTTTCTACGACTACACTTATTATTAGCTTACTCATGTGTGGCTGCCACAAATTCAGCACAAAGCCAAAGATGTGCTTGCTCATGAGACTGAATTCATATTGAAAATCTAATACTTTCAAATTCTCTTCATAAATCTACACTTGCATGAGTCTAGGGTCAGCTTTTTATGCCAGTAATGTAACACAGCAGCTTTTTCATTAAGTGTTGGTCACTCTCATGATGAGGACTTTGCTTTTAAAACCTGATACTGCACTTAAAACATCATGTTAGGGGAGAAGAAGCAGTTGCAATATCTAAAGGTGGAGTATTCTGGACCCAGATCATTAATATAGCAGCAAACAACTAGCGTATATGTCAAGATAAAGTAGAGTTAATGTCTACCCGAGCAAGAATGAAGTTGCTTTCCCTCTGTGTGAGATGTTATCAGAGCTTGTCAGTGCTGTGTTGACAGCGTTGTTGCAGAAGCGTAGCACTTTTGACGTTGTTAGCACTGTTGGCACCATTAGCTGTGAGCCGCCGACTCAGCGAACGTCATGATGACAGCCGTGTGGAGACAATAGAAATGCTCCCAATCTCATATATAGCACCTTTAACATATGAATGCAAGGCTGACAAGATGTTTGTCTGATGCTTCAGGCAACCTGTCTCAATGCAAAAGAGACATGTGTTTTGCACATAAACACTTTATTTTGTATATTACAGCTGTGTTTGCATCCTGTACCATCAGTATATGTGCTGCAGGGTACAGCTCACTTGGAAGCTTTAAATCCTGGACCGTAGAATTGTGAGGCATTGTTTGTAGAACTGATTAAGCTTTTCTGAGCTATTTTGTCTCATTTTCCACAAGATAGGAAATAAAATGAAGATGCCATTAACGTTCTATACACGACTGAATAAACCACTTTGATGGCTGGTGGTTGCAAAATTAACTCAAGAAATTTATTTGGTCTACTGATTATATGAAATGCTTCAATGTGCTATATCTCAAAAAGGAAAGATTCTCCAAGGAGTCATCAACAAATATAATAATCACGCAATCAGAAGTAGAATTACTGTCACAGATTAAACAGTTTATTGAAATTGCAACAGTTGTAGTCATTCACAATCTCAGTGCATTTAGGCAAACATGACAAGGACAAGACAGTGCTTTTCTATGAAGTTAACAGAAGCAGCTGGTATTACAGAAGTCCACCAACAATGCTGACAGAGATGAAATATACAGAAACAAAAAAAATGTTCATTCATCAATGAGAAAAAATCATAAATTAACATATTTAGAAAAATGATCAATGAAAAAAATGCAAAGAATAAATTAAATTATAGTTCATAAATAGAATAAATAACAGAAAAGTGTATAATTTGAAACCCGGTTGACAGACGCTAAAACTGGCAATAATGAAATAAAATAAAATAACACAAAATACAATCCTTTGGTGCAGTGAATAGGCCTTGGTCCAGTCCATAATATAGTAAATAGTTAATTTTCAGCAGCGTGTTCACCGTATTGTTTTGCATGAAGCTGCTTCACTGGAACTTGTGGGGAACGGATTCAGGATGCTCTTGGTTTCTGTCGTCCTCCTTCTCTTTGAGAAAAAATCTGCCAAGAAAAATAAAAGAAAATATTTACTCACTTAATATATTAATCTTTTTTTCAATTGAATAAGCGTGGGTTGCAGCGTGAACTAACTCAATATGGATCTGCAAGACTTTTGTTCCTCACCTGTGATTCGTGCTTTGCTTCCGGGCTTGGCTGCCGGTTTTGTGAGCGTCCTCTTCCTCCGGACGGGCGTCGCTTCGGTGGGACACTTGCGCGTGTTGGAGACGCTGGAGCGGTTCTCCTGGTCGGTCCCCGCGCTGTCCTCGCGGTCGCTCATCCCGTCGTCCTCCCCGGCCCGTGGAAAGCAGACGCCGTCCCTCGGCTGTGCGGACTCCTGATAGACGGCCGCCGCGCAGTCTGCGGGTATTTCCTCCCACTGGAACCTTCCGGACTGCGGCGTCTCCGTCTGGAAGTTAAAGTTCCAGCGGCGGCTGTCCTGCTCCGTGATCTCCCGCAGCTTCAGCGTCAAGTCCCGGTGCAGTTGCTCGTGGTCCACTGGGCCAAACAGACTCCTGCAGACCGACTCTCTGCGCCCGATGGGATCCATCCTCTGCATGCTTCTGGTGGAGTTTTAGTTTTGGAAAAGTCTTTTGGGTGTAGTTTCAGCTGTTGCCGTTTTCAGCTCTGGACATTGTAATGCTGTCGGGGCCATTTAAAGGCTGCATGGCGCACGATGTCCTGTTTGTACACAGAGAGCAGAGGCTGCTGATTGGCTGCATAAGGGGAGAGGGGCGGAATTCATTCATTGTGCGACGAAGACCACAGATACCATCAGCCACAGTCCCCCGTTCCATTTGGAATACTTTGTGTAATGTTGTGATAAAGTCTTTTTTGTCCTACTTTCCATTTGAATGATCTCAAGCCGATTAGCAGGTGGCACAACAATCCTAAAAAAAAACCTCAGAGTTGTTATCCTAACACTTCTGTTTATGTACATTATGTTTTTTTTTCTGAATGAAAAGGCACCAACATGCAGCAGTTTCAGCCTCCAGCGAACAATGATTAGTGGCCACTACAGGTGTTTGTCAAAGGAGGCCATAGAGACAAAAGTCTGTTTGCCAAAATGAGGTAGAAAGTCCTGTAAGGTCTACAACGAGTGAGTTTGAATGAGTTTTAGTTTAAGCTGCATGTAGGTCAAGATTACAGTAATTAAATCCTTGCTTTAATTGCTTTTGTTTTACCCATTGAAAGAAGAGTGTCCCCCGCAGATTAGAGTGGTCCTAATTTTTGCAATTGCTTTAGAAACACAATCAATTCCGCTACTATATGCTAATTATATCATAATGACTACTTAATTCAACTGTTTTTTTAAATGTTCTCTGAGGAAGGCTATGTTCTCACACACACAGTTATTAACCACCTTCACAGGGCCTTTTTATGCTAGAAAAAGCAGTAGTTTATCAGGGTTGTGGCTCATATTGCCAGCTGGCAATATGAGCCACAACCCTGATAAACTACTGCTTTAATTGCTGTAATGATGGCTGAGTAAAGAATGTAAGCATATAGAGCTACTTCAATCAACACGTTATGATGGAGCACAATAATCTGAAATTCATCGGACAATTATATTGACATATATTACGTATTTGTCTCCATTCAGCTCATATTAAATATTGCAAAGCGGTCAAATTGACAGAATGCGGATCAATGCTAGAGCTCATAGGGAGAATTACAACTTTTTTTATAAATGTTAATCGATTTTACATTGTGCCATTTTAAAATGTGCACCCATGAACGTGCCTACAATATGTAAAATAAATAGATATGGTAAGGTAATTGAAATAAAAGCAGGAGTATGTGGTCCTGATGACAGCAATTTGCAGCGGCTGACCAACATGCAAAGCAATGGTGCGCGGCAGTGTCTGGGATTGGCCGTAAGGAAGGAGAGCCCCACCCTTGCACCACTTCCTGATCGCCCAGGTAGTTCACCTCAGGGCTGTGCAGGAAAACCCCCTCAGCCCTCTTACAGGTGTGGTTCAGCAGGAGGAACATTCATTCGAGCCATGCAGGAGAGACAAGGCACACCTCTGGTGAGTATGGACAGCGTGGTCTCCGTAGAGATGTTTACATTTGGCAACGAAAAGATTATTTATGGTTAAGGTGTAATATTTGTACACGGTGGCCAACGTTTTCACACAAAACAGTGTGTCTGTTAATGATACACACGGGCTCACATCCAGCCTACATTGTATGTCAAGGGTGATAAAGCAATATGGGAAAATCATTCTATGATTTGTGTGTTGTGTAATGGAAATAGTTTATGATTTCATATCTTGAGGATGTAATTACAGTTTGACTTTGAAGATGAAGCAGAAGTTGTGGGTCGCATCGTTATTTTAGCCATAACAACCTACAGAGATGCACCTATGCACCTACAATATTATAGAAAATGTATTTCTTATATTTCTCCCCTAAGCTATCCTTACTTTACTCATTTTACTCATTATTCTATGTGCAATATCTTATCTCTTTTGGTTTATTAAAGTGAAAGATTCATTTTTCTACCCATGATAATACTACTTCATGTGCTGTAAAATGTTGACATTCAAAATCAAAATATTGATTTTGAAACAGAGTATTGCTTTTTCTCTCATGAAGACATTAAATTTAATAGAGGTTTCGACATGAGTCAGAAGGGGGTTGCTGGGCCCAACAGCTACACAAATACTCTCATATACGGTAGCTGTGTGCTTGCCGTAAATCGATTGGGCCATCCCAGATCATCATCTTGTCTGCTAGGGAAAAGACAAGTTAATTATGCCTGACTTCAAGCAAGATGTAAAGTGTGCTGTGTGTCCTTGATATTAGTGCATGCAGCCAAGTTACTTCAGATTTGCAGGTAAAACATTGATCATTCTCAATTAAAGTGACCATGATTATTTTTGCAATGTTTGCATCACGGCGAAATGTTTAAATATTTCTAACAAGAAAGTATTTGAGGTAAACGAGCACTCAGTAGGTGAAAGAATGGGTGCCGGCAGTTCCACTGCAGTATATGGAGGTCCCATCTCACAAGGATGCAAGTTCCCTCTTGGCAATCTCTTTTTAAAAAAAGAAAACATATTTGCAGTGATATTCTGTAAAATGACCTTAAAAGGTAAAGTGACCTGAAACTGAGGTCCACACTTGGTTGTAGTGTTTTGAAGGTCCACTGTTGGTCATGTAGGAATGTATCTGTGTGTGAGGGTGTCTCTGTCCGTACCTTTGCATGCAAATTGTCCTGTTTGCATACCCAATAGTCCTTTCCCTCCCAGATCCAGACCTTTAGTCAAATAAAGGCCTCCACAACAAGCTGCTCACTTACATTAGAACAGATGGCTCAACCCAAATTGACTCTCGGTGTGTGTGTGTGTGCACGTGTGTGTTAATCGTCGCACCGCAATTCTATTAAGACACTGTTCTTGCCCAGGGAGGCTCTTTGTCAAAGAAATGTACACTTGTGCAGCATTTTATTTTTTTGTTCTCATCATCTTCCACAAACAGCCCACGCAAATAAGGCTGGCTAATAAAAGTCTGTGTTCACTCAGGCAAACGGATTATCTTATCAATAATGAATGAGTTTCCTTTCTGAACTCAGTGTCAGTTATTTCTATGACTATAAGCATTCAGAGATAAACAGACGGTTGCTTTTTTCATTGTACAACATTAACTACATACGAACCAGGTCATAATGTCAAAAGCAGATTCCAGAGTGCTTAATAAAACCTAAATACGTTATTGTCATTTGACAAAACATCCGAGGCATTTTACATTAACAGATTTTGGTGAGAAGCCCAGTTTTCTTGTTTTCATGTCTATGACTGGCAGTGTTTTGTGAATTTCTAGTTCAAGCATCGCGCAGGAAGTGCTTTGCATATGAAGCGAGGATGAAAATTCTGCCAACTTTGCATTGACCACAAGTATTTCTAAGAGCCTTTCCCCTCTGTGAAAAGAGTGGTGAGCGAGTCATAATGGATTTAGAGGAAATTGCTGTCTGTGAATTTGTTTCATTACAGGGGACGCTGCAGCCACAGCCACGATGTCTGCGATGTGGGGACGCACTGGAGTGGTCAGAGGAGCACAGGTGTGTGGTTGTGTAGAAGTCAAAGGCAATACGAACAGATACTGTAGTCTGTTCCCTTACATTCCTGACAACTGGCAGATGCTCTTATCTTAAAATTAATTACAGTGCTGTTAAGTGTTCGAGATAAAGACATCACCATCAGATCATTTGCAAGCAATCAGATCAGACTTGCAGTTACCAGGCCATAAATGTAAGAGGTGCTACAGGAAGCAAACATTTGTGCCGGACTAAGAAGCCTTAACTAATTCCAAGTATAGTTTTCAGTTTAAATTATTAACGAGTAGAATAGAATGCTTTCTGTTAAATACTAAGAGTAAAAGCAAAGTGCTGCATTCTTGATACAGCAGATTACAGACAAAGCAGCCAAACCATGAAGGACACCGCTTCTGATGCGGACGCTAAAGGGAGCTTCGGTATCAAACGCTGTGACAAAGTGTCGGTATTTGACGCCCTGGGAATTTGAACGGGCTGATCATGTGTGTAGAATATTAATCCACCCCTGCGTCTGGATCTGCGTTAATAATATATACTATTTATCATGAAGCTGTAAATACAAAATCCAGAGCATTTCTATTCTCTCCAATAGCCGGCGGCTCGCAGCTAACGGTGCTAACAGCGCTAACTATACAAACGACGTGATACGTTTCCATATCCATACCGTTGGTCGGGACGGCGTTATCAGCTGTAACCAGTGGCGCACGCTCTCATGCACTAACATGCACTAAAAGGCTCTTGTGTCCGGCCCGGCGACGTAAGCAAAGCAGAGGGAGAGCGACTTCATTCTCTGCTCAGGTTGACATCACTCCACTGTATTGCTGCTATATTGATGCTCTGAATATCATATAGAGACCCTTTACATTTTGCACCAAGCTAATGATAATAGGGCAGATTATAATTTAGTATTTAGAAAAAGTACAGACCAAAAAGTCCACAATCTTATTGAAATGCTTGCTTCACTATGGGAGAGCAGGATGAGAGAAAATAGTCTTGGTGCATGTTTGTGAGGAACACAGTGAGACGGGTGTTCCGGGTGAGCAGGAGATCAGAGATCATGCTACAGCTATTGTGTGTTGGTAGAAAGGACTGTATGATGCAATTCATATATCCACTGAATGTGTGTTTCTCTCAGTGTCCTGCTGGGCTGTTCCTGCTGCTCGACAGTGGATGAGACGCTGGAGAACGTAGCCAGAGGCCTTGCCAGCAGAATGAAGAAGGAGAAGAGCCACTGGGCATCGGGAAGAGTGGGCGACATTGACTTCGTTGGCTCTACAAAGACAAGAGGAAAGGTGAAACCAACAAAAGCTGAAGGTTCTATAACGGCATTGGGAGAGTTTGCAAAATAGATCTTTCGAGAATAATGACATATCGACTCGTCTCCTTATTTTCAGTTCGTGAGGGTGCGCAGCGACACCGACCCAGTGCTGATCTACCAGATGTTGACGGAGGACTGGGGCCTCGCTCCCCCACACCTGGTGGTGTCGCTGGTGGGCGGCGATGAGCTGACTCAGATGAAGCCCTGGCTCAGGGACATTTTAAGAAAAGGACTTGTGAAGGCTGCACAGAGCACAGGTGATAATCAATGGGCCGAA